GAGTGGGAGGAGGATGAGGCTTAGCTGGATAGCCTGGGTAATGTTAAATATTCACTCTGTCCATGTCTTTCTCTTTCCTGACACATACTGTACACTTGTGACAACTCATTCTGTCATTTGCCTTTTCACCTTGAGAGGCAAATCTGTCAGATTGCATGGGTTACAAACCAACAATGTTGTTGTGTCAGTTAATCAGTCTGACATTCACAATCTGTTAACTGTCTGATTGAATTTCTGAAGTATAACAGAAGGCATGGTGATCCATTGGATCGCACTGTGGCCTCACAGCAAGAACGTTGCAGGTTCAAACCCCGGTTGCCCCGGCCTTTCTGTGTGGAGGCATACATGTTCTCCCCGTGTCTGCGTGGGTTTCCTGCGGGTGCTCCGGTTTCCCCCACCATCAAAAACATGTTAGGTTTCTTCAGTCAGTGCCTTTGACCAGACAGTGACATAGATCTGGAGCAGTATAGCGGCTGCCCACTGCTCCGTTGAGGGATGGGTTAAATGCAGAGAATGAATTTCGCAACATGTATGTGACAATAAAGTTCCTTTACCTTAACATGTGATAAAACACAGTACATTGATATTTGCTTATGAAATATGATATTACGCCTACAACGTCCTGTAGGTGAGCAGTTTGTTCTGTTCTGATTCAATGATAACAAGACCTGATGATATATTAAAGGAATAGTTTTTTACATAATATTTTAGCTGTATTTTCTAGAGTGATATGAGAACATCACTTGTGTGCTAAATACAGAGCTGGAGTCAGGACAGGGTTAGCTTAGCTTAGACTAGAAGCAGGCTCTGTTCAAGGTGAAGAATCAAGCAGGAAGCTTCCGGTCAGAGAACGTGGAAGAGGAATTAGAGGAAAATAGACCATAAAGCAGAGTATGCTTCAGGCTGGGATTGTCCGTGATTGACAAGTCGTTACCATGCGAACCTGTCAATCAGGCTAGAGTGACTCGTACCCACGGCACTGTGTAAGTTTAACCAGTACCGTTGAAAATGCTTATTAGGAGTTGGCTGCTCACTTTCTCTGGTGAGTACATTTAGTTTTCAGCCCTGTTAAAATGACAGTTAACGTGAATTACAGATGCACCTAGCTAAGCAAACTAGCTAGCTCCACACACGGGTGTTAGCTTCACTGTCTTGTCTAAATATGGTCACGTCCTGTGCTGCTGGTTGCAAAAACTTTTTAAATCTGTATACAAACAAACAACTTGTGGTTTGCGAGGGAGTGACTGTATGCAGAGTCTTGTCATGAGTGAGGTTGCCAGGTCTCGCCTGTACTGAGACGTACACCAAAACTTCTGCTCATCAAACTGTATCTGGTAATAGGCGACGACACTGTACAGAATACTGGGCAGATACATGTTGTTTACCATCACCATCAGATAGTACAGTAAATATTAGCTGACAGTACATTTCTAACAGTGAACTTCAATAAAAATGTAATCACTATTAATAAACAAAATATAACATAAAAGTCTGGCACTTTTTGGAATTCTATTTGGTTTTCTTTTAAGCAAATACTTCTGTTCCTGTCATTAACCTTTATCGGAGGGCTTTGTTGTTGTCGGGTCACCTCATTCTGTGGTGATGATTCAGATAATTCACTGAATAAATAATACCACACTCAAACTGTAGGAGCAGTCTGTTAAGCAATGCACATTCACAAATTCCCGAAGCGTTCATCGGTTCTCCATTATTTAAGGATCACTTTACAACAATCCAAAAAACACAAATACTTAGTAATTCTGCACAGTCATATTATTGTGAGTGAGAATTATTTGCCCTTCCACTCCTGGTGAGTGAAGGGCGTGGAGGGCGTCACACAGTCAGACACCTGTCCCACATGGTTATTATAACGACAGCAGAACAACAAAACTTCAACAAAGGATAACATCACTCAGATTTCAGAACAGAAATTGCATGATGCTTCAGCATAATCATAAATAAGTAAGGGAAATCTGCATGATGGCTTCAACACTCTGGCTCTAATTGGCTATTTGAAGGCACAAATTTCTTTGGTGAACATTTGTCCCAGTTGATCCTAATTTCAGATTTTGCTTCATGTGTCAGAACTAGTTCATCTAGTAAAGGCCTTATAGCACCAGTCCTGTTACTAACGACGACTGATCAACAGTAGAGGTGAAATGTGTTAGAAATGGCCAGAATTGTAGTTTAAAACAAAAAAAAGATCAACAGAATGTGAAGAAGTAATGGTTCTGACGTCTGTATTGTGTTGCAGAGAGCTCACCAAAACGACTGGTTAGTCTTTCCACTGCTCCAACAATCACTAACGCTGGTTTGGTCAAAATAAACCCTAAATTCACTGAGTTAGATGTGAAATATTCTGTCGCTGCCTCTCTGATGCCTGACCTTCCTCTCACTGTGTGTTTGTCGTCCCCGGAGTCAGAGTCCTGGTTGGAGCCCCTGGACTCCCTGTTGTCAAACTGGCTTCCATCGGTCTCTGAGACTGTATTCGGTCCAATGGGAGGCTGCTGTGCCCAGTTCCATTGGCCACTTGCCGGGCTCCAGTTCTGGCAGCCATTCTGGACTCAGTCAGTTAATAGGGCCGCTAAGTTAGCTGCACAGCTAGCTCAGCTTATAATATAAGTTATGACCCGATCTGTGAAATTGCTGCCCCCTACTTATTTAGAGTAAGAATTTGGCAGGTGGAGAGTAGTCTCACCTCTTACACATGGCACCATTTAAATGCTGTCATTTAAATGGTGCCATGCCCCCCCCCCCCCCCCCCCACACACACAACATTACCCTGTGTCTCTGTTCAACCACTCTAACTGAATTAGATCACTCAGCTTCTCTGTCTTAAAAGGCACAGGGATGCATTCAGAAATCTTTCACACTTACATAGAGGCTCAGCCTGGGTGTCTCTGCCCTGTAATCAGATGTGGATCCACTTTGTAAATGCAGGCTGTCTCTTTTAGACTCGTCATGATTGCAAGGAGACGTGCTTTTATTGTGTAAATTATTTCCTTTCACATCATTTGAGATTAAGAACACCTAAAGCGTGCTCATGAATTGTACATACTGTTCCTTATATATTTTTAAAGCGCCTGAGTACTTGGTCTTTCTCTACTCTCTGCAGATGTATGTAGATTATATAAAGTGTGCTGCAGATGGATGAAGTTGTCATTTGGTTTGTCTCTGAGATTAGAATCACTGAGGAGTCCAGCGCTGCAGCACTGTCCTCAGCGTCTCATTAAAATGAATTGGTCAAAGCATCTGTCATTTCCTTTATGCCTTTATCTTGTTGTTTTCACTGCTGGTTTGTTTTTTGTTCCCAGCCAGTTGCATAAGCATTCAGAGCTCATATAGAGTTTTATGAGGAAATACTGCAGTATTTTGGAGGACTGACACACTGGCTGTTTACATGTTCCTATTCTGTCTCCATTTCACTGCTTAGCTTCCTTTGTCGTACTGCTTTGCACTGATGGTTAACCAAACTGTCAGTGCATCTGAGATGACACTATAATGCATGTCACATTAATGAAAAAATCACTTGTCTAGTCATTACCAGAGTGAAGATGTGGATATTGGTCAGTTCATCACCATAAATTATTGACCACTGGCCAGATTGTGATGATCTTTTGAATAAATTTTAGCTTCTCCCGAGCATGATTTCTAATACTTTGGCAACCCTCTGACTTTTCTTCTGGCACCTCTATCACACTATCATTTTCTGCTGATAGCATTTTGTTCCTTCACAAGGTATCTTAACAAGACTGAGATTCTGCAGCCATGCTCTGTGAGACCGTGCTTAGATACAGCAGTGCTTTGAGCTAGATGTCAACTCCTGCATGCTAACATACTCACAAAATTAAAATGTTGTTGATGTTTAGGAGGTATAATGTTTACCATGTTCACCATCTTAGTTTAGCTTGTTAGTGTGGGATGAGGCTGATGGGAACATCATGGGTTTTGTAGGTATTTGGTCATAAACCAAAGTATTGGACAACATGAAACTTTGACCTGATGATGGTGCTAGATGGAAAATTGAGGGATAACCAAAGTTATTATAACTCATCGTCAGGGTAACGTGAATGTCTTTACCACATTTCATGGAAATCCATCACGATTCAATGGTAGTACATCTAGTTCTTTAGACATTTCAATCAAAAACTACAAAAGTCAACCATTATAGAACCTTAGAATGTTCTAAAGATTATTTAATCGACGCATCGATTAAGAAGTACTTTTGCCCGAATTTGCATCAATGCTTTTTAGTAATCAATTTAATCGATGAATCGTTTCAGCCCTAAAATAGGCGTTGGGGGAGTAAACGGAATAATCCAGAATTTGTGAAACTCAAGAATATGACAGTGCAGTGTCCCTGTGACTAATGCTTGAATAGGTTACCTAATCATTTCTGTTTTTGGCATCCTATTATTTGACCAGTATGTAAGGGATGTCAAGCAAAACATCAACCCAGCAGGATTTACACTCTCCTCCAATTCCTCCTCTCTCCATCAGCTTCTCTGTCTCTCCTCCCATCCCCCATGCTCCTCCTCTTCCTGGCTACAGAATCAATGTCAGGATAATGAAGACAGAGTATTGATCGTAGGACGCTGTCAGGAAAACTGAAAATGGAGCTTTAAAAAGGCTGTGTTGAAGTGAGATTGGGCGTTTTGTTCCTACCTTAACATACATGTATGTCTTCTGTTTTGAAGAGATATTGAAAATACATTTTTATACTCTGAAATCAATCATAAATCATCTTCAAAATGTATTTAGTTGCATTTCATTTACACTTCTCAGTTTTGAGTTTTAGATTAATGTGTATTATTACTGTACTATTATTTGTTACCGTTATTTGGCTGCAGTGACCCACTTTTCTCAGGGGTATCATTAAAGTTTCAGGGATTGAAGGATTGAGGACGCTGGCGTAGACGAGAAGGACGGATGGAGTGTGTTTTCATGTTCTTTTTATTTGAGGACAGTTCTTAAGTCTTCATGTCTGCCTGTGTCTTCAGGTATTAAAGCCAGTGGTTAGTCCTGAGGTCAACCATGGACTGGGCAACAGGAGACTCATTAACTTTTCCCTGTCAGGTAGGATACCAGCTTCTTTCTTTTTCTTTCCATCCATTCTGTATTGCTTTGTAAGATCAGTGCGTTCTCTGTCCTCATCTGACGCCTCCCTTGAGCTGTAGCTCTCTCTAGCAGTCATTTTAATCAGCCCTCACACTAAAATACTGTGTCTACACTCGAATTGATGATTAAAGCTAATTGTAGATTAAAGTCATTTATGTTGTCTCTAGCGTTCGTTGCAACAGCAGTTACATTTTACAAGAGAATATCGAGTATCCTGTCCTCCAAAGGAGGACCAAAGGAATGAGATTGTGGATACAAGTGGCTGAAATGAGTCTCCTCCGTGGAGTGGCTGGGCTTAGCCTTAAAGAGAGGGTGAGGAGCTCTGACATCCGGAGGGAGCTCTGCTGAAAGGAGCCACTTGAGGTTGTTCGGGCATCTGATCAGGATGCCTCCTGGGCTCCTCCCTTTGGAGGTCTTCCGGGCACGCCCAGCTAATAGGAGGTAGACCCCCGGGGTAGACCCAGAACACACTGGAGGGATTATGTATCTCATCTGGTATGGGAATGCCTCGGGATCCCCAGGAGGAGCTTGAAAATGTTGCTGTGGAGAGGGACGTCTGGACCACCCTGCCACCACAACCAGGCCCTGGATAAACAGAGGAAATGTATTGATGGAGAATCAGCCAATTGCTTTCTCTCGTTGATGCATTTTTAACAAACAATAAAAAATAGATTTTGGTGGGTTTTGGACTCCCTTGACCTTACTGGCACAAATAAAGATCTTTATTTTAGCTGTCCACAGGGTTCAGCTGTCATGGACTGTTTCTTTAGATCAGTGAGGATGTTTGACTTCTAAAAAAACATGTTTTTTCTAAACAAACCACATTAGAGTTCATGAGTCCCAGTCCATTTTATTGCAGACAGAATTTTTATATATATTATATATAATTAATTAAAAACCCCTATTTCTCAGAAAAATGACCTCAATGGTAGCTACAACCCAGAGCATGTCCACTCGTTTCATTAACCCTTCTTTACAGCAAAGGTCAACAATCTAGTTTTTCTCCTGTGTGTATCTAAGGGCGATACCACTTTTTTCCGCTCATAACCCTTCACAAGATTTTCCACATTTCATGTTTTATAGTAGTTTTATATCAGCAGTCATCTGAATCCTAGAGACAGCTACGAGTCACTCATGAAAATCCTGGGATTTGTCAATTTCAACTTTGGTCTGAACCTGAGTTTTCTATTATAATTTCTATTAAAACAGAGTTTTCTATTATAATTTCTATTAAAACAGAGTTTTCTATTATAACCCCCCCCCCACACACACACACACACACACACACACGCCCCCCTTAGACCTCCAGGCAGTTGGATTGAAGAAGGGGATGTTCTTCAATCCAGACCCCTACCTGAAGCTCTCCATCCAGCCTGGAAAGCACAGCATCTTCCCCTCTCTGCCACACCACGGCCAGGAGAAACGCTCCGGAGTGGTCTGCAACACAGTTAACCCACAGTGGAGCACGGAGGTGCGTATACACACACATGCACGCACACACACACACACACACACACACACACACACACACACACACACACAAACACGGTATATTTCACATCAATGGAATCCATGAAAATCATGTTTTGTGGAAAACAAGATCAGCCAATTGATTTAGTCATTTAGGGACTTTTCTTGTTCAAACCATACATTTCTGCAAGGTTCATTACCAATCAGTCCTGTTGTTGCAATTAATGCAGCAGATTAGTGGCAATAGGCTTTGAGTAATATTAACATTTGATATTTATGTAAAGATATTATTAACACATAAAAAGCATAAATACAAGCTACATGAAATTCAGTGGTCACTTTAACCATTAAAAGCAGGTCAGTGAGTGAACTCTAAATGAGTCTGTCTTTACTTTTTTTCAGCCAGAATGATCACATTGATCTCCAGCATCTGCTGTGAACAATGTCCTCTTGCATCTATTTTTGCACCCTTTTTCATATTGGAAATAAACCCGAATAAATTCATCGATTTCTTTTAACAAAACAGGGGGATTAAGATCCTAAACAGTTTGCCTAGCCTAGTTAATGTCCTCTGGGCAGGGTAGAGCACCACCTATTATGCATTCAGGCATCATGATCAGGACGCTCTCGATGGTGCAGGAGAAGAAATTCACTTTCATGGGAATGCAGGGGGTCACACATACCTAAATAAGTAAAAATACACTACAGCAAAAATTCCAGAAAAAAAAACATATGTCTGGCCATCAGAAATTACTATTCAACTGCCTACAGGGCTTAAACTTTTCAAATTGTTTCAGCGATAACACTTTGACTCTTTGATTCTGTACCAGCTTTAACTTAATCTGTCATACAATATTTAACTTTTTAAGAAATTTGTCATTTTCTGTATAAGTGAACACACATACCTAAAATTAGGCTGATTTTAGTTGACTGACAGATGTTTTCAACCTTCCTGTAGGCATTGCTTTTATGATTACTGGTACCATATTTATTATGATGTCCAGTGCTCTAGTGTCTGTACCACTTTATTTCAGTCATCTTGGTTCATTCCACCATCCCTTAATGAGCTTTCTGCTTAAAACTAACGGTTCATATTTTGAGGCTCAGCGGCATAAGAAAGGCCTTTAAAGTAATATCACTAATGTAATTTCCTGTCATGTAACCTAAAAAAGTGTTCCTCCAGTACATCATAATCAAATCTGTGTCACTGAGGGTCATTGTCATTCCTGCCTGAGTATCCTCTATTAGAAATCTATATTGAAATGAAAGGTGTCCCTTCACCAGAAACCTCCTGGCAGATTAACAGTGCACAACGAGAAGCAGAATTAGCTGACAAAATATGTCCTGAATGTGATGAACACCACGAGCTAAAGATAAATTTTAACAGTAAGATGAAGACTATGGTCATACAATATTTAGATTAGAGCTGAAAGTCAAGTAGTCAAATAGCTGATCGACAGAAAATCAACTCTTTTGACGTTTGATTCATTGTTTAATTATCTTTCACAGTCACAGGTTCTAGCCTGCCAAATGTCAGGATGCTGCTTTTCTTTGTATTAAAAGATTTTGAAGATGCCTTCTGGGAAATTATAATGCACATTTGTTTTTTCCAGACAAAACATTAATTGATTCATCAACAAAATGATCAGCACACTTATCAATTATGAAAATAATACTTAGCCGCAATTTAGATTGTCACCACATTTGACTAAACTGCTGTCTGTCTCACAAAACAAATTTGTACTGCAAAAATGTCCATATGTTAAAGTAATTTAATCTTAAAATGTTTAACATAAATCAACTTTTTTCAAGATATTTCCCGAGTGTAATTTTAGACCCATTCTAGGGGGCCAGCAGCTCAGCAGAATGATTCAGGGCCCATTAGAGATTTAAAATATATCAAGACAGAGAACAAAAGACAGAGTAGAGATGTTCCCTTGTCCATCCTAGCAGCAGAATTCTGAGCAGGTTGTCAACAGGATTTTAGGATTCATGATCTGTGTATAATTTGTGTTTAACTACAGGAAATATTAAGAAATCCATTTATGAATGTCTTTCATTACAACTCAAGATGTTGCTAATTTCCTATTAACAAGGTTACAATTAAGATATAGCTGAGTACTTTTTGTATAAAACTGGAAGAAAGGGTTAAGTCTATGCATAAAAAGGTGCATAGAAAATAAAAATGGACCAAGCACTGAACTTTGAGGGACTCCATGCAGATGGAGTTACCAATACCTACACAGAGGCTCCTATCCGTTAAGAAAAACTTTGACCCACAGTGGGTTAATCAGTATTTTTTGCTGCAAACAGCTGCCTGCTGCTGGAAACTACACTGATGAGAGTGATGAGACTGAAATGCAAAAACCCAAAGAACTTCTATATAAACCAAATCCGGCATCTAATTGACACCTGCGTTTATTTGTCAAAATATGTGACCACATCCGGCTAGTAAAAGTGGTCGGCTTCTAATTGGGACTTTTAATGGAAGTTTTACCTTTTTTTCTGGTTGACTGCGTACTGGTGGAAAATGTGAAATGGGAGGGTCGGATGAAATGGACAGGTTGGACCAGAACAACTCTGGAAATGACTCAGTGCTTTGTGCATAATCTGAAGCTATTTTCTGTCTGACTGCAGTGTCGCTCTCAAAATGCTCTCCAGCACAGTCTCTGCCTTGTATTATGTCCCTCAGGAGACTCCATACACTGATTTGGCAGCATCCACTCAGCCCAGAGCCACTTTCCTTTTCCAAACAGCTCCCATGTTGAGTGGAGCTCAGCTTGCTTTGCAGTAATGTACTGTATAGCTAATGGGTCTCCATAGCATGCTAGCTCAGTCATCATACTGTCCATACTGCAGTCCAGTATTGTGCAGATATAACAGACAATTCTGCTTCATTATATTCATTAATTCATTATATAATAACATAAATTAGTACCAAAGAAAAACCATGACAAGAACAGATCCCAGGAAACCGGTCTAATACTGGAAGAATACATTTTGTATTTTATAAATAGTGACACTATAAAGCTTTTTTGAATGATTTATCTAATTAATCATATTTATCTTTCCTCACCAGTATATTATATGAGGGCTGACCAAGAGTAATGCCATTTAGTGTGCTAGATCTGATAGTGTGATTGGTTGGTTGTTGACGATAATGATCAACAGAGTTTTTCTTCCATAGTCTAAAAGATCTTTAAAAAGCTGTTTCTGTGTGATACTGCATTGGGCTGCTTCTCTCTCTTTCTCTCATCCCTATGTTTGGTTTTATTTTTACTTAATATTCCTACTATTATTTCCTAAATTTCTACTTTTAATCAATTCAAACATTGACTTACAAGGTAGATTTATTTGTCAAATTACAGTTTGCAAAGTGAAATTGAGTTTGTAACTACCTTCTACTATGTAGCAGACAATATATACATTAATATAGAAGCAATTATAAAAATGGTAAACAGAAATAAACAATATTCAGTGTAGCAGTGCTGAGGATGAAATTGAGCAAGTCTGATAGCTTGGGGGGGAAAGCTGCTCTGCAGTCTGGTAGTGTGGCAGCTGAAACTTCTATATCTTTTCCCAGAAGGCAGTAGGGTGAACAGGCTGTGGCTGGGTGGGTACTGTCCTTTAGTAGGGCTGTAACGGCTCAGAAACCGAGACCGAAACCGCAACACAAACTTCCATGCTCTCGTGCCGCATTTCCAAGGGATAGAACCGTGACACACCCGCTCACAGACTATTGAGCTCTCATTAAGACAACTGTGACGGTGGCAGCCCTGCGGGGGCGGGGTAGTGGTGTAAAATGTATTCGTATTTCTAGTAGGTTATTTCATCATTTTAATTCTACTTCATTCTCCACCTTATTTTAGTGATTACTCGCCTATTGAATCTGCTCCCTTTTTCTTCACCCCCCCCCCCCCCACACACACACACCTAGCCTACAACTCTGCTCTGTCACTGCAAACGCAGCCGCTTGCCCCGCCTCTTTCTGTCTCTCTCTTTCCCTCTATGAGTCTCACTGCTCACTTTGTTCATAAGCAGTACCTTTTATAAAGTCTCCGCGTCTAATAAACCCACCCACAGTAAAGTTTTCATAACAATGGGTGCACCACATGTGAATCCAAACCAGCGTGTTACTGAGTGATCTGCACTGGTGCATTCGCTGTTTCTCCGTAATGTCCACCATGTCTGCATCTTGTAACGATATACCAGACAACTCTCTCTCTGTGTTTCTCTGCAAAATACTAAAATCGGTCGCCAAATATAGCCTACTTAAGCAGCTGTTAATATACGTGGGCAGCCCACCTAAGTAAAGTATACTGTATGTGGGAAACACTGTATTTAAAGTTAGGGCAAGTTGTGGACCAATGTTTTGTAAATATTAAACGTTAAACCTATTTTATTGTCTTCCAACTGCATGTATCACGTGACTGTTTTGGTCAAGTCATGATTAATAATAATAATAATAATCCTCCCCCTCAAAAAAAAATCTAAACAGAAGAAAACCAAGGTCTGAACCGAACTGTGGATTTGGAGAATCATTACACCCCTATCCTTTAGTATCCTTTGGGTTCTGCAGGCATCTCACCTCACCTCTCGGGAGATGGGTCCCAATGATCTTCTGAGCAGTTTTAATCACCCCGCTGCAGAGCCCTCTGGTCCTGGGCCGTGCACATCCCATGCCAGTTTGTGATGTTTCCAGTCAGGATGCTTTCTATTGGTCCTCTGTAAAAGCTGACAAGAACTCATGTGGGAATTTGGCCTTCTTAAGCTTCCTCAAGAAATCCAGTCATTTCTGAGCTTTCTTTACCAGCATGGAGATGTGAGATGACCATGTCAGGTTCTCTGATGCTGATTCCCAGGAACCTGAAACTGTTCACCTGCTCCACCTCAGCACCACTGATGTAGACAGGAGAGTGTGTCTTTATCTCCTTTTTCTTGAAATCAACCATCAGCTCCTTGGTTTTGCTGACGTTGAGTAGTAGGTTGTTCTCTCTGAGCACCACTCTGCAAGATTATCAATTGCCTCCAGATATGAGTCTCATCGCTGTTTGAAATCCGGCCGATGATGGGGGTGTCATCCACAAACTTCATAACAGAGTTCTCTCCATGTTGAGGGATGCAGTCGTGGCTATACAGTGTGAACAGAAGGGGGCTGAGCACACAGCCCTGGGGGGCTTCAGTGTTGAGCATTAGAGTGGAGGAGGTGTGTCCACCAATCCGAACTGACTGGGGTCTGTTTGTGAGGAAGTCTAACATTCATGGGGGAGGTTGTGTTGAATGCTGAGCTTATCCTCTGTGTTTTCAGCCACACATATTTAACTGAAACCTAAAGTACTGACACCAAAATGTGATTCAGCTACTATGTGTGTATTAGCTGTGGCAGCTACACTAGATTGAAGCTGCTGTCCTCTGCTAACCTTGGACTGAGCTCTACCTAAGCCAGCATTACAGTCAGTCACTCTGTGTCATAGTGGCTTTGTTTGGTTTTCTGATATGGTTGATTGGAAATATGAGTTCTTGTCCCTCACATAGGTCGAAAAGCATCAGTGGATGCCTGAATTTCATCTTAACAATGTCTGTTTTGTGTTCAAATATAATGGAATTAACTAAAACATTTAAAGCATTTAACGAATAGGCTACCTGACATGCAGCTCCATGTCTTGCACTGCTCATCAGTCCTGACCCCAACTTTGGTCCCAGATTTAGTCCTGTTTCCTCACGCTGACTAAAGACAAATATAACTTAAGACTTTATTCACTAAGTACATGTGTAAAAGAAATTGTTTTGGCGCAAAATGTAAAAACCACACCACTGAATTAAAATACATTATCTACAGTATCTAGCTGCGGCAACCAGGATCTTATGTATCTTGCTTTGTGTGCCTTTTCCTGTTTGTGTCTTCCTATGCTAACCTACGAACACACACATACATACACCTACACGCCTTATACACATCATCACACATACACATCTGGAATCATCCACAGAGACCAGAGGGTTCGAATCCAGCTCAGATCAGAGATACGGAGTGTGGACTGGTAGCTGGAGAGGTGCCGGTTCTCCTCCTGGGCACTGCAGAAGGAGGCCCTGAGCAAACCCCTGAACCCCTATACAGAGTACGGAATGTAGGAGCCAGTGTTGTGGAGCTTGACCCATACTAGCGACAGTTTTAATGTGTAAAAGTGTCTTTATGGCGGTGCTATATTGTGGGAAGTTCCCTTTAAACCTTGTCACTGATTGGCTATTTCTGATCTGCACATACATGTGGTGATCCCATGAGCTGCTTTTAAAGCTTTCTCCTTCACTTTGCTGTGAGTTGCATGATAAATTTGTCTCATCTTTATTACTTCCTAAATTGGCTCTTAAGCATTGTTAAGAGTTAATCTCACAGCTTCCATATGATAAATACTGGCTCGGCTGATTCTCCTCTACTCGTCCTTTCCCTTTCTACCTTCATAACCATCCTCCTCCTATCTCTCCTCTCGTCCTCTTCTACAGCTACATGTCACTCCACTTCCTACAGATTAGCATTGTGCCTTGCTGCTGCAACAACACATACTCCCTCCTCCTCTCAGCTGTTCCTCTCTCTCTCTCTCTCTCTCTCTCTCTCTCTCTCTCTTCTGTACAGATTGAGTTTGTCCCGCATCCTCCACTCACAAACACACTTTTGCTGTGTCTGCTCCCTTCTCGCTCATCTTGTAAATTATTCACCTCCTTTTCATCCTCCTTCTTTATCACCCTGCACACTGGTTTCCCCAGCCCAGCCTTTTTTCCCTTCCTGTTCTCATTGTTCTTTCTTAGCACCACAGTGTTATTTCATTTCACCTCATGCAGCTAGATGCACTTTTTAAATCTGAAAACTGAATATCACAGGACATACAAGTATGCATATTACAATCAACCACATCTGAAAAACCAAACACAGCCACTATGACACAGAGTGACTGATACTATGTAATACTGGCTTTAGTCCAAGGTTAGCAAAGGACAGCAGCTACAATCTAGTGTAGCTGCCACAGCTAGTACACACACAGTAGCTGAATCAGTCCATTTACTGTACATAATATTGAGTTAATATTTACCTTACATACTGTTGAGTTAGGATCTATGCTGTTTTTTTCTTTTAAGCACAGACTTCTTTGGCTATACAATAAATGAATAGCGAAGACAGGATAGCCAAATTACAATAACAAACCAGAACAGGAGTTATATTTTTCAGGCCATAATAGAAACCTGAGCAAACTTCATGTAATGTAAATACATGTACATTTTATATCGGGACATCTGTTTCAGGCTTGCCCTGTACTACAGCAGAGCCTGTCTGGTGCTGTAAAGAACAAGAAAGAGTCCCTGAAGCACCATGATCAGATGCTTACACGTTTATGATGCTAAAAAAATACCTTTTATAACCTCCATGCTGGGAATATTGTGTTAGAAATGTTCTCAACTGAACCATGTTGAACTGTACTTTCATATCACTGTAGGAAGAAAACCCTCCAAGAAATTGTAAAATAATTAACATCTATTTCCTAACCTCCTTCTCCTGGTGTGTATTGACACTTACAGTACTGTGCAGACGTTTTAGGCAGGTGTGAAAAATGCTGTAAAGTAACAATCCTTTCAAAAATAGACATATTAATAGATGATATTTATCAGTTAACAAAATGCAAAGTGAATGACAAATATACTGAAGATAGTTCTTAATGACTTTCGCTGTATGTTTGGGCAACCTGCCTTCTGCAGCAGCCAAATATTTCGCATGTTGACTTGTCAGTCCAGAGCACCTGCTGCCATTTTTCTGCACCCAGTTACCCTGATGGTACTACATGATGGATAAGTATCTGCCTGTACTTCTCAGCATTGAGGAGAACATTCATTCTGACCAAATCGCCAATTCTGTTTGCAGAAATGCAGCCCCCCGCAGAAACCTCCACCATGCTTCACTGTTCGCTGCAGACACTCATTCTTGTACCACTCTCCAGCCCTTTGGCAAACAACCTGCCTTCTGCTGCAGCCAAGTATTTCTAATTATGACTCATCAGCCCAGAGCACCAGCTGCCATTTTCTGGACCCCAGTTCCTTTGTATCTAAGCATAGTTGAGTCTCTTGTCGTTGTTTCCATGTCAGAGGCATGTCGGACGCAAGTCTAACATGAAGGCCACTTCTGACTAGACTTCTCTGGACTTTTTTTGCGGCTCTGAGCTGATGGCACTGCTGGACATATTCAGGTTGTGAAGGGAAGTAAGGATGATGTGTCTTTCATCTGCTGCAGTAAGTTTCTTTGGTCGACCACTGCGTCTGTGGTCCTCAGTGCTGCCTGTTTCTTTGTGCTTCTTTTGAAAGAGCTTGGACAGCACATCTGGAAACCCCTGTCTGCCTTGAAATGTCTGCCTGGGAAAGGCTTTGCTGATGCAGTATAACTACCTTGTGTCTTGTTGCTGTGCTCAGTCTTGCCACGGTGTATGACTTTTGACTTGTAAATTATCTTCAGCAGCCTCAACTTGTTAGCTGAGTTTGGCTTTTCCTCACCGAGCTGGATTCCTCCTACCCAGCTGTGTCTGTTTCACTTAATGATTGTGTCTTACCTTACATATTGAATTGATGATCATTGGCACCTGTTTGGTATAACTGTTTAATCATACACCTGATATTATGCCTACAAAAACCCTGACTTTGTGTAAGTCATTCTCTGCCAAGTCATCACAACTTTTGTTACAACCATCTCCAGGTAAACAGTAGAAATAGTCTGTTTCAAAGTAATTACCAGGAATGTGTGCTAGCACAATGCAGTGCTAGGTTCAGCTTTTTCGCCAGGCAACCCTGTGGTTTTTCACCGGAGCCATCTATAACAAAACCCTCCTATGAACTGGCCTCATTCAGGGGAATGAGGAAGCTGCTTTTTTCACGCAGGGCTAAAGTCAGCCTGAACACAGCCTCACAGTGGTCAACATTACCTGCATTACCATTATGATCAAATTAGCATGCTTACATTAGGATTTACAATAGCTCAAAGGCCCTCACACCTCACTCAGCTGCTAGCATGGTTGCAGACTCTTAGTCTTGTTTACCACAAGCATTTCGCTTGACTTTCACCAAATGCTTTGAGCTGCCAAAACACATCCATACAAATGTTAATCATTCTGATTTGCCAGGGGTTGAGCTCTGTTTACTGGCAAACAGATATTTTCATTGTTTGTTATTTTAGTAATTCTTCTTTGAGTTGTTTGTTGTTTTAGATTTCACATTTGATGCTGATTTTGTAGTTGTTTTTCTATTTATTTTTTTATTTTTTGTCTATTAATATATACACATTTACTGTTTTATTTATTTATTTTGTTTTAATTTGTAGTATATTGTTTTAATTTTTTTACACACACACTTTTACTGTTTTATTTACTTGTTTAATGAAATGAATTGCTCTTTTGTAATGTATTTGTAGCTTTGGCAATATTGTTGTAAAATCATCCCACTCTGATGACTCTGACTGGTGTAGTCCTCACGATGCTCTTTCCTCTGTTTGTCTGGATCTCCAGAGGTTTAACTTTGTGTCTCTGCCCACTGATGTCTTGGAGATCGAGGTGAAGGATAAGTTTGCAAAGAGTCGGCCAATCATCAAACGCTTCCTGGGGAAGCTGTCGGTCCCTGTCCAGAGGCTGCTGGAAAAACATGCTATTGGGTAAAACACACACACCATACACATTCATGCAGAGGGTTTTTATGATGTGAAGTTGAGTGCAGAGGGACTGTGTCTTTGTCATTATTCTAAATATTATTCTAGTGCTCGATGATTCAAGTCAGTCGAGCTGTGGAAGTTTTCCCAAATACACAAGCCCACACGGACAGAGGATGAGATGAAGGATGTGGGAGGTTGTATCAAGTTTAAATCTCACGTGACCATCTGATTTTTGCCAGCATTTCATTAGCTATCTGAACAGATAGCCTGCGTTTCCTTTACTGCAGGTTCTCGCTGGTCAAAATAAATAATGTCACGGCAACGTCTGCATTTTCAATTCTCCTATTTTTCATTGTCCCTGCATTTCTACTTTACAGACTGTTCTCTTTTTCTCCGTCTGTCTATTTTGTCCGCAGGAATCGGGTAGTGAGTTATTCGCTAGGTCGGAGGTTGCCGACGGATCATGTCTGCGGCCAGCTGCAGTTCCGCTTTGAGCTGACCTCCTCTATTCACCCAGGTACACGAGGCATCAAGCCATCTAGCAGCATGGACAGTCATATTATCAATCCTGCTACATCCCCTTGGCTGTTAATCTTGCTCTCCTAGGTCAACTGTCTCTCCATAGCAACATATTTTAAACTTAAAGACATTAAGCTTTGAAACACGGTAATGTACAGATCTCAGTTTAATCTTTGGGTTTCAGTTATATCTAACTGGTTACCAACTCCACATTTAAGCAGAACAGAATTGGATTTGATAAGTGATTCAAAAGGACTTACATTACATTTAGCTGATGCTTTTATCCAAAGCGACTTACAATTGCTATATACAGTGGGGAGAACAAGTATTTGATACACTGCTGATTTTGCAGGTTTTCCTACTTACAAAGCATGTAGAGGTCTGTAATTTTTATCATAGGTACACTTAAACTGAGAGAGAAGGAATCTAAAACAAAAATCCAGAAAATCACATTGTATGATTTTTAAATAATTAATTTGCTTTTTATCGCATTACATAAGTATTTGATCACCTAACCAACCAGTAAGAATTCCGGTTCTCACAGACCTGTTAGTTCTTCTTTAAGAAGCCCTCCTGTTCTCCACTCATTACCTGTATTAACCTGTTTGAACTCGTTACCTGTATAAAAGACACCTGTCCACACACTCAGTCAAACAGACTACAACCTCTCCACAATGGCCAAGACCAGAGAGCTGTGTAAGGACATCAGGTATAGAATTGTAGACCTGCACAAGGCTGGGATGGGCTACAAGAAAATAGGCAAGCAGCTTGGTGAGAAGGCAATAACAGTCAATCTTCCTCGGTCTGGGGCTCCATGTAAGATCTCACCTCGTGGGGCATCAATGATCATGAGGAAGGTGAGGGATCAGCCCAGAACTACACGGCAGGACCTGGTCAATGACCTGAAGAGAGCTGGGACCACAGTCTCAAAGAAAACCATTAGTAACACACTACGCCGTCATTGATTAAAATCCTGCAGCACACGCAAGGTCCCCCTGCTCAAGCCAGCGCATGTCCAGGCCCGTCTGAAGTTTGCCAATGACCATCTGGATGATCCAGAGGTGGAATGGGAGAAGGTCATTTGGTCTGATTAGACAAAAATAGAGCTTTATGGTCTAAACTCCACTCGTGTTTGGAGGAAGAAGAAGGGTGAGTACAACCCCAAGAACACCATCCCAACCGTGAAGCATGGAGGTGGAAACCTCATTCTTTGGGGATGCTTTTCTGCAAAGGGGACAGGACGACTGCACCGTATTGAGGGGAGGATGGATGGGGCCATGTATCACGAGATCTTGGCCAACAACCTCCTTCTCTCAGTAAGAGCATGGGGGCCAGTCCTCACTGCATTACTTGATGAGCACACACAGTAGCACTCAACTACACTCCTGATATCCACCTGCTAATGTCAATATGTATATGTGTGATGTACGTTTTCAACAATCATAATAATAGTCATAATAATCATAATAGTCTAGATTTGGGTTGTATACACAATCATTATTATTACTTATTATTATCATCACTATAAAGATGATTAGTATTAGTTTTTTGTTTCTGTTGATGTTGTTGTTGCCATAACTGTTGCTACAACAGCCAGGAGCACTAACCAAGCAGTACAAATCTATAATTCAAGCATATTATTTGTTAAATTGTCATGCAAATGAATTGTTTTGTGACACCTGCCAGGCTGCATACAATACCCTGCAGAGGAAGACCAAAAGTGCAGATGGCAATCTAGCAATCTTCTGTGTGTGTCCAGGTGTTGGGGAGTTCTAGTGCACATGTGAAAAAGTAGTTTAAAGTAGGGCTGTGCAATTAATTGAATTTTAATCACAATTTTGATTAATGCTGCCAATGATTATAAAAACAAGTTAATCGAAATAAAGCGATTATTGTTTCGCAATGACACTCCTTTTGTCTTGAGGTTTCCTTTACCTGGCCCGTGCTTGTAAAATATTCATAGTGTCCATCTGTATTACAAGATTTATACATTCTTCACCGTTAGTTTAAGTCACTGCATCTTCCAACAGAACAACACGGTTGATAGTCAGTTATATTCAGTTCAGTTCAGAAAATGTTGGTGTGGAGTTAGAAAGAAGTGAGCTTAGCAGACTCTGCAGCCGCTGCACATCTCTGCTGCACACTACATTAGCCACTACTAGCATCACGCAGCCCAGTCTCCCACCAAACTGGCAGCAGTCGAGTTACACTGTGGGTTCATCTGTCGATTGTGGTTCTGAAAATATTAAGTGTGTATAACAACTATCAAGAATATGGGAAACAAAATCCAGTTTGAAGGCAGCAACTATCAAATGTGGGTCTGGTGGACAGCTAACGTCTCCCTGTGTTCTTTCTTTAGATGATGAGGAGGTCTCCCTCGTGATAGAGCAAGCCTGTTCTGAGGAGGAAAATGGAGCAAATAACATCCATGCTGCTGATGCACTTGATGATGACACACTAAGTGTGGGACCTGACATGCCTGACCTCCCCCTGGATGCACCTTCAGACCCTGAGACCTCTGCACCACTAGCCCCCACAGTGGAGGCCTCCACATCTGAGGAGGTCCAACCTGCTAAGGAGGAGGCTGAGGCGACACCAGAGGTGGATCAAGGAACTGTGGAGGAGGAGAGCACAGTGAGGGAGGAGCTTAGGACTACAGAGCCCCAGGTGGAGCAGGAGGCGGAGATCTTGGCTGAACAGCAGGAGGAGAACAGAGGAGTGGAGGGAGAAGAGGGAGGAGGTGAGGAGAGGCTGCAGCAGGAAGAAGAGGAGGAGCAGAGAGCAGAGTCTGCATCACAAGCTGAGGAGGAGGTCACAGTAGAAGAAATGGAGGTTGGAGAGGAAAGCCAGCCGAAGCCAGACTCAGACAGTCCTGAAGCAGCAACAACAAACACTGATGCTACTGCTGTGGAGGCATCCCACGAGGGCACTGAACAACCAGCTGAAGGGTCCCCGCAGGAGGTGACAGAGGGGGGAAAAAGAAGCTGCGTCCCCTGCACCTGCCAGTCGCTCTTCTCAAACTACAACTCCCATGCTCCCTCACGGCGTAAAAACCGCCCCTGCTCACTTCCGGTGTCAGAACTGGAGACGGTGATCGCATCGGCCTGCGGTGAGCCGGAGACACCCCGTTCCCACTACATCCGGATTCATCACCTACTCCACAGTCTCCCCTCGGCCCAACACAGAGCTCCCAGCCAGGAGGAGGAGGACACAGGGGAGGGTGAGAACTCAAGCATCACTCAAGATACCACCTCCACATCACCAACACTTAAAAGCTCCAAAGAGGAGGAGGGGCAGGAGGATGAGGAAGAGGAGGATACAACTCAGTCTCCCTCTCAGGTACGGCCAGTAATGGACTTACGGAGGTGGGTAGAGTAGCCACAAACTGTAATAAAGTTACTGTATAACAACAAGTACATGTGATGTAAAAGTAATTGTCAAAAGACTTACTTGAGTGCAAGTACAAGTGCATCTAAAAAGACACTTCCCATCAGCCTCAGTTGTACTTTGTGTACAGTATTTTGGGCTAATTAGCCTATGTAGCATGTGTAAACTAAGATGGTGAACATGGTAAACATTGTACCTGCTAAACATCAGCGTGGTAACATTGCCACTGTGAGCACGTTAGCATGCATATTAGTATTTAGCTCAAAGAACCGCTCTCTCTTCTTTGAAGTTTCCATGACAATTCCTAAGTTCACTCTGATAGTCACCAGCCCTGTTTCCATTAGGATCTCCGATATAGTTTCACATATGCCTCCATCATCCTGTCCTGCTGATAGAATTCCTACTACATTTCTGAAATCTTTCTCCTCTGCCTGCATACCAGATTAATTCAAGAAACCCCCTCTTCAAACCCCCCTCCCTAGATACCAGTGGCTGCAAATTGTAGAGTGGATTGTAGAAATTATTTTACACTAGTTATCTGCTTCTCTCTACTTTCTTACGTTCAGCAAATAATTAAGCAGTAAAGTTATGGCTTACAAGATCGGCCCCCCCATCACCATTTAGTAATGGTTTATTTTGATCTCCCTCTCCCATCCTCCTCTGCCTCTATGGACCAGCTCCCTCTGCTAGATACCACTGATTTAGCTAACCACAGCCCCATTTCCAAACTTTTATTTTTAAAATCAGGCTTCAACTGGTTGAGGGACACAATATATTTGATAAATTTTGATCTGGCTTATAGCACTGAAATGACACTGCTCAAAGCAACTGACGACCGTCTGTGTAGATAAAGGCGACTGTTCCATTTCAGAAATAACAGAAAGACAACAGTGTCTTGTCAATGAGTAATTAAAACCTGACTTATTGCCTTTGTCTTTGTCGTATTCCTGCAGGTCCCTGAGTGTCCTGGCCCCTGCTGCCGTCGCTCCCTACCTCGCAGCCTCTCCATTGAACGGCTCTCTGAGCTGAACCAGCTCCTGGAAGGTGAAGGAGTAGGCGGAGGACATGCGGCTGTCAGGAGGATCTCTCCCTCCTGCTTGGAGAGCGAGGAGGGGGATTCCAGTAACGGAGGAGGAAGAAGAATTGGCCCGAGCACTCACCGGCCTCCGGGTGAGAACGAGTGTGAGTTTTGCGACACCTCCTGCTACAGCACCTCTTGCTACAGCACTTCTTGTTACAGCACGTCATGTTACAGCAACTCGGGCTACGAGGGGAGGGGCCGCTTCTGCAGCCACACCCGCCTCTCCTCAGTGGACAGCAACAGACTCTCCGGCAGCACTGTGTTCTCCTCCCAGGATGAAGACGAAGATGAGGAGAGCGCCTTTGACGCTGGCCACACGCCAGAGGGCCAGGAGGCGGGTGGGGCAGGAGGAGAGAGGAGCGCAGGGAGGTGGAAGGAGGCCAGGCGAGGGGAGCAGGGGGAGCCAGCCGTGGCGGGGCCCAGTGATAGCATCAACTTTGGTGAGAGAAAACATTATCCTGTTTTTGAGTCTCACATTCATTCTGTGTTCAGACTGAAACATGCATTTCTTTACAACAGTTGGAGCTTCAGTTGATCAGCTGCCATGTTTTGGCCGGTCAGCCCTTTAATTTTTAGGTGGCACACTGCTGACACATCTTTCAATTAAAGTGTGAGATGGGATGTGATAGGCTGACATTATGAAGTTAAATAACTAAAAGATACATTTAAAAGCTTTTTGAAATTACTTTTAAAGGTCGTCCTGGTGAAAAACATTAGCAAGGTGGAGAGCAGTTCTACACCCTCCGTATAAGACACGTGATAGATTAGTTTCCACAACATAGACACATTTATTTAATAAAATACTAGAACAGTGGACTGTTTATAGAGTTTAGCAATCTCCAAAAAACTGGTGGATAATTTTTGCATCTATAGCTGCGGGGGTTCTCCTGGTTCTCCATGTTGGCACATGTCTAAAGCTGGTGGCGTATGTCTAAAACGGTGGGTCTGCGGATGCTCTCTGGATCTGCAAGTCGATGATAGTGGTTCAGGCAGTCTACCACGGTCACACATACAGTACCACATAACTGTAACTTCATCACTTCAGTTTCAGGGATCTTTTTGTTGCATGTCCCCTCTCTCCCAGCTTTTTCAGTTTTTCTCCCTCTGCAGTACCAACTATCAAATAAAGGACAAAAAAGACAGTTTTGTGAAGTCTAACAAGTCACAATTTAAAGATGGAATAAGGAAATAGCATTATTAACTGACAAATGTTTCACTGAAGTAGAAGACAGTAGAAAACAGTATTTTGTGTTAAAAAGAGCAGCAGAGTGGTATGACATGGCTACGTATGGTTCAACATTCATGTCTGAAAAGGGCTTTAAAGAAGATAATACTGACAAACATATGATCATATATACAGTCATGGGCCCTCCATGTCTGTCACATAATGCACCACTTCTCCCAGAAAATGGTTGCAATTAAAAATGCTTTGGTATTCTCCTGTTTATTTCTTTTGTTTGCATTGGAACACAAAAAAGCAGAGAACAAAAAGCCAAATCTGAGACACTCCACACAGAACAAAAACAGGACTGGACAAATTTATTGGCACCCTCAACTTAGTATTTGGTAGCACTGCCTTAACCATCAGTGAGTTTCTTACACCTCGGTACTGGAAATTTGGACCACTCTTCTTTTGCCATCTGCTCCAGGTATTTGAGATTTGATGGGTTCTTCTCCCAGCTGATGTTTAAAGATCTCTCCACAGGAGCTCTTTGGGACTTAGATCTGGACTCATTGCTGGCCACTTCAGCACTCTCCAGTGCTTTGTCTTGAACCATTTTTGGGTGCTTTCTGAAGTCTTTGGGTCATTGTCCTGCTGTAAGACCCATGAACTCTAACAGAGAGCCAGCTTTCTGACACTGGGCCCTACATTGAACCCCAGAATTCTATGGTAGTCTTCAGATTTCATTATGTTTGCACACATTCAAGACATCCAGTGTCTGAAGCAGCAAAGCAACCCCAAAACATAAGTGAACCTCCACCATGTTCGACTATAGGTTGGAGGTTGAACCTCCACCATGTTCGACACCTTTGAGAAGGTCCCAATCATTTTTTGTGTCAATGCAAACAAAAGAAATAAAGATGAGAATACCAAAGCATTTGGAATTGCGACAATTTTCTGTGCCCATATTTTTGGCCGTGGCTGTATATAAAAGGAGCTAACTTGACTTAATTAAATAACCGAATTCAAAATGCACAAATAAACCTCTCAATTCCAGTGAATTGGCTTCAGCGGCTCCATATGGCCTGCAGTAAAATGAGACTGTTCATGTTTTATACTGTGTTTGTACATTTTACGTGATGACTGTCATGGATTGTGATAGAAAAGTAGGTCACACAAAATGAAATTCCCTCCTCTGAGATGCAATCAGCACACTGCCAGACTCCCTGCCAGGTCGGTTCTTTCAAATGGTTCTCTTTTCTTTTCCCCTCCTGTTCCCATCTAAACACACCAAAATACACACCATCTGAAGGGTTTTTATTTGTAAAATTCTAATCTGGTTCAGCCGTCTATATTCATATCTGATATTATTGATATGATTCTTTTTGATTGATTACATATTTTAGATCGCTACAGTGCGTGTTTATATTTGCTGTTTTAAACCTGGGCCAAGACTTTATTTGTTCCACTGTAAGAGTTGATTCTCACCGGTATCATTTCTCGCAGCCTCTGTATCGTAACACAGATATGTTGCATTCACACTAATTCAAATAGCTTCTTTGAAATGCGAAATACCGTAGCTGCTGTTCTGTGTTCAGGAATCCTTTTCAAATTGTAAATGCAAATTATTTTGAACGTGGGTATAAAGAACACAAGATTTGAGTCTTTCGCCTCCTCCAGCATGACATAAACATGGTAGAAGACCAAAATGCAGCAGAGTAAACAAGGAAGTGTGTGATGCTGTGCTAAGTGCTGAGATGGAGCTATTTAAAGATATCTGCAGAGTGGAGTTTGTGTTGGCCTGGTGGGTGTGTAGTGGACAACAGCTGTGCTGGAAAGCAGGAGTGATTTAAAGCTCTGTGCTTAAGTCGCAGTTAGTAAACGTTTAGTCTTGCATTATCATGTCAAAATTACCATTAAAAAGCTGTATTACGTGAGTTTAAATAATAACAAAAAAAATCACCTGTATTCATATTGACAACACGTATCGTGCATGTCCATTATCCAGGGCCCATTTTGCTGTTTCTCCCATTTTGATATTCTTTTGGCTCATCTATTATCATCCATATTGATTCATCTATTCCAGTGCCTGGTGATACAATCTGCACTCTGCACTCTGCGCATGTGTTGGCGTCTGTAGCCACCTGTCGGAAGCTCCGTCTTAAACCGGACTCTTATCCAGTTTTAATCCACTCTTTTTCGTTACATTTTTTATATCCTTTTTATTTAACTTAACTTTATTTAAGTTTTACGCGGGTTAAGGATTTTAGTCATCCGACATGGATTTTAAACTAGATGACCGTAAAAACGCGATCAACGCTACTGATCGCAACAAAGCTCCGGTGACTATGCTAGCCGAGATAACTCTGCCCCATGAGGACTGCACACTCCTTAAGAAAGCGAACAAGAAGATTGCTGACCTTATGGAAGACATCCGACGACTTTCAGAGGAACTCAAAGAGAAAGATTCCCTGCTGACTGGCTTTATGGATGTGGCTTCAGTACAAGCCAAACAGATTGTTTCTCTTAGCGCAACCGCCAACATCCAGGACACCGTGTTTTGGGACCCCTCTAGTCTTCCCAGGCTTTCATCCTGCTCGACTCCGAAGCATCAGTCAACCTGGGCTGAAGTGGTGGTCCGTGGCTGCAAGAGAGGCTCGGATGGGGCTGCCTCTCCAACCGCTATGCAGCCTTGTCTAACGACACTCCGGTCCATCCAGCGGATGCACCTGCGGCTTCGAGTCTCCCTGATACGGATCTCTGTCGGCGGACAGTGCCTCCCGACACTGTTGCATCTCCTCCACCGGCTCCATCTCCTGCACTGGGCCGCCGGTCTGCCGCCGGACCTGATCGGCAGCCGTCATCCCGGTCAAAAACCTCCGCCTCCCGACGTAGGATCCTGAAGGAGGCTGTGCTCAGACGCTCCGGAGGCCGTCTCTACCCTGCACCGTCAGGTAGCCCTTCTCTCAGGTCTGTTACTGCTACTCCAACACAACACTCGGCAGCTCACACACTCCATCCTCAGTCCGCACGCAGTGTTGAAGTAGATTCTGCTCAGTCCTGCTCTGGAACCCCACAACCGGCATCTCCTCGTCCTCTTTTCTCCCCAACCACACTAATAATTGGTGACTCCATAACCAGAAACATCCGTTTCTTTAACGCCACCACTCACTGCTTCCCCGGTGCCACCACGGCTGACATTTTAAAAAAACTCCAGGACCTAATGCCGTCGCTCCCGTCCTCCATCACAAGAGTGATAGTCCATGTCGGAACAAATGACACAGCTCTTCAGCAGTCTGAGCTGACAAAATTAGATTTTAACCGTCTTCTTAACTTTTTAAAGCAGTGTGGAAAGTCCGTTTTTATCTCTGGTCCCATTCCCACAGTTGGTCGCGGTGCTGGCCGCTTCAGTAGACTCCTTGGCCTCCACGACTGGCTCCAGTCTGCCTGCAGGGCTCATCGTGTGTGTTATGTGGATAATTTTAATATTTTCTGGCAAAGAATGTCTCTTTTTAAGACAGACGGACTTCACCCAAACAAACGGGGCTCAGAAATGTTAGCTGCGCACATACAGCATGTGGTGCGGTCCACACATGACTTACGTGAATGACTAATCATTCATGCAGCACACCTGGACACACCACCGCTCACTGAACACATCTCTTCCTCACTGCCACTAAGAACTGTCTCCACCTGCTGGCATGTAAAGCCGTCTGCTCCCAGCACTGTTCCAAAGACTTCTATTCCTGTCATCATCACGCATAGACCAGTAAACCGAAATGTGCACATCCCACACAGAAATATTAGTAATCTCTTAAGGATTAGGACAACTGCACCAACTCCAGCACCCAGAACAAACTCATTTAAAATGTCTCTCTTCAATGTGAGATCACTGTCAAGTAAGACTTTTAACTTAAATGATTTTATCTTGTCTGCAAATCTAGATTTTATGTTTTTAACTGAATCCTGGTTGCAGATGAATGACTATAGCCAGCTAGCTGAACTGTGTCCGCCTCAATATGATTGTTTTAGTCAACCGAGGGTCAGTGGTCGTGGTGGTGGGCTAGTGAGCGTGTATAGGGAAAATTTAAAATGTCATCAAGTACGCTGTGATGAATTTAACTCCTTTGAAGTTCTCACTCTTAAACTTGGAAGGCTGCAACCTATCATATTTGTTATAATTTATCGCCCCCCAAAACCGCCCGGAGGATTTTTATCAGAAATTCCTGAATTTTTATCTACTCTGGTTTTAAGTTAATTAATTAATAACAGAATTGTTCTTTGTGCTGATTTTAATATTCATGTTGATGACCCCAACAATGTTAATGCAACTTGACTTGACTTGACTTTTTAAATATGGCCACTTCTTTTAACTTCAAAAAACATGTCAAAGGGCAAACACATAACCGTGGTCATACGCTGGACTTGGTTTTTACCCTGGGTGTCAGCATTTCCTCAGTGGAATTAGTGGACATGACCATATCTGACCACAGATGTATTGTTTTTAGCTGCGATTCGCCTGTTACTCATGCCGCCTCACCAAGCTCTGTGTGTTCTCGCATCTTTAATGAACAAAGTGTTTCAAAGTTTTGTGCATTCTTTCAGAGCCAAAGCCAAAACCTGTCTGATTCCAACACCAACAATCTGGTCGATCACTTCAATCATATCTGCTTGTCGTCACTAAATATTACTGCTCCTCTAAAGGTTAGGCCTACGTCTAAAGCTAGTAAGCAACCCTGGATAAATGACAGCATTCACAGCCTAAAAAGGGAATGCAGGAAAGCAGAGCGCAGATGGAAAAAATCCAGTCTCCAAGTTCATTACCTCAGTCTGAAGGATTTATTAATTAACTACAATAACATGGTTAAGGATGCGAGAACACACTATTTTTCTGAACTCATTACTACACATAAACACAATCCCAGGTTTCTGTTTAAGACTGTGGATCAGCTGGTAAACCCAACCCCTCCTTGTGCCTCAGCTGGAAGTAATGATGACTGTGAATTGTTTTTATCTTATTTTACCAATAAGGTGGTGTCAATCAGAGCCTCTATTACCCCCATTGCCTCTTACTCAGAGGTTCCTCACCAGCAACAAGAGAGTTTTAACCAGTTTTATCCCATCGACTTGTCTGAGCTTTTAAAAACAGTATCACAAATGAGGGTGTCCTCCAGCCCACTTGATGTAATACCTACAAAATTTTTACTGAAAGTAATGGATTCTGTTGGGCCCCATTTGATCTGTTTTCAACAGCTCCCTATCTACTGGTTGTGTCCCTGATTATTTTAAAACGGCTTGCGTGAACCCACTTTTAAAGAAACCTGGTTTAGATCCCTCCCTCCCACATAATTTTAGACCAATTTCAAAACTGCCTTTTATTGCAAAGATTCTAGAAAGAATTGTGTCCAAACAGTTGCTCACTGTACTGGAAAATAAAATATTTGAAAAGTTTCAGTCTGGTTTTAGGAAGTACCACAGCACTGAGACTGCCCTGCTTAAAGTCACCAATGACCTTTTAATGTCTGCTGATGAAGGCATGTGCTCAGTCCTGGTACTCCTGGACCTTAGCGCTGCTTTTGACACCATTGATCACAACATCATGTTAGACAGACTGAGGCACTGGGTGGGGATCTCTGGTACTGCCCTAGAATGGTTTTCATCCTACCTGTCAAATAGGAAGTTTTGTGTGTCTGTAAACAACTATGTCTCCTCATTCTGTCCATTTAAATATGGTGTGCCTCAGGGGTCGGTCTAAGGACCCATTTTGTTTTCCTTGTATCTGCTTCCCCTTGGACATATTATCCATAAACATGGCATTTCTTTTCATATTTATGCTGATGACACACAAATATACTTGCTATAGTTCACTTAACAACTGCCTTTGTGAAGTTAAAAAATGGATGTCAAATAATTTCCTCCAGCTGAACTCAGACAAAACAGAAATCCTGGTCATCGGGTCTCAGCAGATGGCAAATCAAATACTGCCATCTGCTGGTTCCCTAGTAAATCACATTAAGCCTGTGGCAAAGAACCTTGGTGTTTGGTTTGATAGTAATTTAAATTTCGAGCAGCACACCACAAAGCTTGTTCAATCATGTTTTTATCAACTTAGAAATATAGCAAAAATTCGATCAATGTTAACTTTTAAGGACACCGAGACCATTTTACACGCCTTCGTCTCATCATGCCTGGATTAGTGCAACAGCCTTTTCACCTGTTTAACCCAAAAATCTATTGATCGACTCCAGACTGTCCAGAACTCAGCTGCCAGGCTTTTAACCAGAACAAAGAAATATGACCACATTACTCCTATTTTAACTTCATTACACTGGCTCCCAGTATGTTTTAGAATTGACTTTAAAATTCTATTGATCACTTTTAAATTTCTTCATGGCCTCTCACCTTGTTATATTTCTGACCTTTTAGTCCCATACGCACCAGCACGTACCTTGAGATCCTCGGGCAGAGGTCTGTTGTCTGTTCCAGAGTCTCGACTGAAAACTAAAGGGGACAGAGCGTTTGCTGTCAGGGCCCTTAGGCTCTGGAACAGCCTGCCCGAGGAAACCAGGTCGGCTGAGTCAGTGAACTCTTTTAAGTCCCTTCTTAAAACATACTTTTATAGGAGAGCTTTTCCCGATCTTATTTGACTTTATTTTATCCCTTTTATTGTATTTTACTAATTTTATATTAATTTTTCATGCTCTTATCTTGTTTTTTTTGTATTATTCTTTACACTTGTTAAAGCACTTTGTAACTTGTTTTTGAAAAGTGCTCTACAAATAAGGATTATTATTATTATTATTACAAACCTTCTCCTAAACCCACAGGGCTCTCTGCCCATATCGCGCACGATTGCTAAAATTGGAGCATATTAACAAATGCCCAGGAAAGTAGCATCAAGTCATGATAATGTTTCTGGATTAACAAGCATTTTGCAGGAGAATTTTCACTGTATGTGTTAAGATAACATCTGACTGTGAATTGGCATATTTACACATATCAAACCGAGGAGGTCCTCTTTTGAGATGATGTGCACCTTTGTCGAACAGGTGATCATTCTATGCCACTCATCTGGACCCAGAGTGATCGGTTCTCATTTCAGGCAGATAACTTGGCTAAGTGTGGAAGGTGCTGGGGATGTTACTGCAGTTCTTTTTTTGTTTTTCTTCGACCTCTACTCTTTGGCATGAGGCAGAATAAATCTTTTTCCTGCAGTCATGTTGTAGTTGATGAGAACTTTCCATTGCTGTCAAACATCATTCAGCTTTTCGCTTAAATCATGAAGATCTGTGAGGTCCTGTAGGTTATTTCTGTAGTGAGCAGGGGCTGTGTTAAAGGCATTTCTTCTCACAGTCATGCCCATTTTGATTTTTCTTTCCCAAATCTGCCCACTGTGATTACAATGATGTATCTACTCACGTTATCCATTTTTCACCTGTTTTGTGTCACTGACTCCAGCTGATCTTACCACAGTCCCGTCTCAATGCATGTTCTGTGTAATTACACTTTGCATCAACGCACATTTTCCCCCTCATCCAGATCACATAGTAGTTGGAGGTGAGCAAAAAGTGTTTTGCAGTGAAAGAGCAGCTGCCTGTTGTCATTGGCTGGATGTGGATGTCGAGTCGGCCGACTCTTCCAGGTATTTGGCATGCTAGATATCTGGCTGGCGTCAGCGATGTGTCAGAGATGTCGTTGATGGGTCCTTGAGTAGTTCACACATAACGACTGGCGACCGCTGATCGATCCCTGATTTAGCCCTGATCACACCCTGTCACCGAGCTCGCCAACCGGCAAATCGGGCTAAAAATCGTGTTGCGTGAACTAGGCTTTAGTGACATTATCAGGAGACAGATGATCAATCGGAATTACCAATCCTGTCACAAAACAGAACATAGATATCAGATTCTGCAAAACTCAGTTCCAATGTTTAAAATAATTTCTGAGTTAGATGACTTTGTGTTATGTGAAAGGTGTCATTTGATGAAAATGATGTGCTGGAAAACCACCCAATATGAACATCATTCCCGGGGATACTAGACTGCATTACACCATTTCCACCAGCATCCATTCCTTTCCTAGCTGACAGGTAGTCTAGTGTATCCCCAGCCTTACAGTAATGTATCCCATACTGTCTCTCTGATGTCCTGTAGGCTCAGGCTTCTCCCCTCCTGTTGGCCATCTTCCAGTCCTGCGACCAAGCCATGACCTAAACCATTTTCCTGCTGCCACTGACCAAGCCTTACCTCCAAGTAAGAACCTACACATCCCAGTCTTACTCTGGAGTCACATTCCTACACCTTGGTTTGCTGTGAGAGTGGCTGTTGTGTGTGTGTCTCTATCAAGTGCATGCTGTCATTTATGTTTTGCTTTCCAAAAATATTCCTCTGTCTGCCGTCATCATGTCATCCTCCCATCTTGCACACCCCTTTAATTTTAGATGTACAGCTTTCTACTGGTCTGTGCTGTTTGGTTCATGGTTGGATCTGCACTCAGTACTGGACGGTTGGATGGCTCGCTGGTCTTCGCTGATTTAGAGCAGAAGGGTCAGCTGCCAAAGGCCCAAACTCCACTTAGCTGTTACATCATCTTCCAGCATCACCATCACCATCCAACTGAGAGTCCTTAACCAGTGAGCTGCTTCCCTCACAGACATTTTTTAAAACATGTTTTGTGACTAGGTGCACAATCTGTTTTCTAGTTCTCTGGAATTATACACCAGGGGCCTCATTACAGAACCAGAACTGCGTGTCCTATCTTAATGGGGCTATATGCAGTTTTTCAATGAAAACACTTATCAATAAATAACTTTTTTACTGCCTATTTGTGAACGAGCTGTAAGCTCCCAAAGAAGTGAACAACAAGGCTGATTTCTCTGTTGCTTGGAAGAGCCACTATTCTGCCAATTATGTGAAGGAATCGGGTCGGGTTCTCCGCATATGCGCTCCTGAGACTCTTGCGTACTACAGCGACAACACCGCAGCTAAAAAAGTTAGCCACTAACCGACTCCCAGCACAACACAGACTCCAACACAAACTCCATGTAAGGATAAAAAACAACAATAAAGGTTTATGTGCTGAAGTCTGTCTGGCCAAAGAGAATCAGATGATGTCGGGTGAAAACACATTCAACATTGGAACAGTGTGAGTCACAGAGAAACCTCTGCTTTGTTTTGTATCAAAACCGACACAGAGTTGGCTTTCATCCCATTGGACACGTAAACCAACATCACTGCAAATCATGTGAAATTTATTGTAATTTTGTGCTTTAGTTGGCTCAAGTTACCACATTACTATCCTGTGTACCACCGGTATTGTGTTGGTTTTAGCCTGCAAGAAATTATGTAATGGTACAAAGCAAATGTGGAGTTATTTGTTTCTACTAGCCTGTAGTGATGCAAGGCAGGAGCAGCCATCTAACGTTAGCACGGATCTTGCGCTGTTTGCTTTGTAACGTTGAATATCGATTTAATGTGGTTTTACCGATACTCAGGTACACGGCTTCCACCGTCTCAGTCGCTGTGACTTACATGACCCAATAATATACAATACTGCAACACGTAACAGAGCAGAACAACAACACAGGGGAAGACCCATTCACAATAGTAATAGCTAACCCTAACCCTAACTGTTGTAAAATGTGGCAACAATCTCATTTATAATATTCAGTCCAGCTCACTAACTGTTTCATTATAATCCAATACATTTGGCTGTGCTCACATTGCTGAGCCTCCGGTGAAAGATCAGGGTGTCCGCGGGGTCTTAAAAAGTCTTAAAAGGTAATAAATCAATTTTGCGAAAATTAAGGCTATTTAAAAAGTATTAAAAAGTCTTAATCGCCATTTTACAAGGTATTCAATTTTGAAGATATTTTTTTTAGTGTGAAAATCCTGTTTGTCCAAAAGTTTGTTCGCTAAAAGTGTAGGTGAACGTATTTATTTGTAATGCGTAGCCAAAAATACTAGACAGGCAGTGAGTAGCGACTGTGTGATTCGTTTCTGTAACGTTAGGCGCAGGAATCTACCGTGCGCCTATTTCACTAAACGCTCCAAAAAATAGATCCGTGCAAACCGGAAAATGATTTACGAGTACAACCGACCGTAATCTCCCACCCCGCTGGACCCTCAATGCTAATCGTCCAAAACGTAGTCGGCGTGGCGATCAGGAGTAACGGAATTAACCTGGTTGGCCAGTCGCTCTGTGGCCACTTTGAACGGCCCCGTTCCTGAAAAACAAGAGCAAGATGCGCTGTAAGAAGCTGAATCGGTAAGACAGAAGACCACAGGGAAAATTCACGGAGCGTGTGGGTTTGGCTAACGTTTGGCTATTTAGCTAAATCTCTGCCTTTTATTGAAACACGTTGAACTTCTCATAAAGCCGATGCTCTTGTTAATGTCACTTTTTGGGAACAGATCAATCACAGCCTGGATGGAGCGGGATTTTTTTTTTTAAGTTTGATGTGCTGCAACAAACTTTATAAATGTTGAACTTAATGTTCTGCATAAATGGTTATGATTATTGACGAGTTAGTAGCCTGCCTAAAATCAAGGTTGGAGACTCACGTAGCCTAGAGCATTTTTCTTGCATAAAGTTAATGAATAAAAAACAACCCCAAACTGAAGCAGCTGTAATTTGAATTAATATTACACTAGAGGTAAGTTATATACTCTTATATGAAATTATATTGAACATAATGAATACATTAATATCAAACTTACAGTTTACTATTAAGTTAACAATGACTATAACTAATAACTTAATGTTATAATATTATACTAATACAGTCATTTAGACTAGTTCCTCCTTCAGGTTGTGCCTGTGCTACACCGCCTACACTACTTACGTTATTCATCACTCAGTTTATTCTCTTCATCTTTGTTCCCTCCTGCCCTATTTGAATTTTGCTGTATTGATCAAGTGGTCGATGAAAGTAACTAAAACACAAAATTACACTGTGTCACATGATTTGCTGTAATGTTGCGTACATAAACGTCATAGCTTATGTAAGACAGTTGCTTTTCGCAGGAAATCTGACCAGTCCTTCACATAGAAAACAATGGGCCTATACAGGCTGTTATAGGCAACTGAGAAAGTTGGTGAATGCCTCAATTTTTAGGTGGTGTTACAACCTGATGACATATAGGCAATAAATATGTTATAAATATATTTAAATTCCTTTTAAAAACTTAAAAATTTCCCTTTTAAAGGTTTGTGGCTGATTTAATCGGTTACATGTCAAGTGGCGCGGCAATCTTGAATTATGTTGACAAAGTCTTGAAAAGGTCTTAAAAAGGTATTGAATTTTACTTCAGGATTCCTGTATATACCCTGAAGATACACAGATAACGTTGGTTACTGAAAAGCCGACAGGGGAACTAACGCCGATGTATCACTTCAGCTAAATGCAATTAATGTGAGAATGGTTTAGTTCAATATCAAGCTGATAAAAATATTACTGTAATGTTGCAGTGGGAGTTTACCAGAGTTTACAGCATGTTGTGTGAAGCGGTCTCCCTTGTGTCGGATTATGCTATCTCATGAGTTTGAGCACACACCAGGTTGATATCTAAAAACTGCATAGCTAGTGGCCCCTGAAAACTCTGTATTGCCCCTTTAAGCTTTAAGAGACAAGAAAAATCCTATCCCTATTACAGAATTAATTCCTCACAGCTGTTCTATCCCATGTCAGACCTCGTATCTTAAGAAATCTCAGGCCTGCATCTGTGTTCAAAACGTATACAAGACTTTAATGGCTAGCTTTCCTTTTTGGGAAATTTTCTTCCAAGTTGTCGGCCCAGATAAAGATTTGAACATATATAGTATGTCAATCAAATTCGATATACCTTTTAATATATGGTCCAGGACCTTAAGGTTTCAATAGCCTTTCAGTATTCATGTTGTTTCCCATCTTTATTGTCATTTGTCACTTTGAATCAAGGACAGTACAGGGAAGTGGCCACAGGGTCAGTGTGTAATATTTTGGAGGAAATATTGACAGAAATGCAGTATCATATCCATAACATTGTTTTCAGTAGTGTATAAAGACCTTACATAATGAACCGTTATGTTTTTATTACCTTAGAATGAGCCATTTCTACAGTAGCCCAAATGGACAAACTGTGTTTCGTCTCTACGTTTAATACGTACGACGTACGAAGAAGAACAAGAACAAGAAGAAGTAACATTAGAAGGAGTAGTAGTAGTTGACTGCTTGATAAGACACAAGAAAAGAAGAGAATTTGGATAAATGGAGGAACACACATATTATTTAGCACAAGAGCTGACAGAGCGTATTGGCCACTGTAGCTTCTCCTGCATCTTTTTTTCCTTTATTGCAAAAAGAGAAGTAGGAAGAACGACTTCACAGCTCAGAATATGGGACCAGCCGAGGAACACCTGAATGCTCCGTGAGCAGCTGTTTAATTCACAACCCTCACCACTAGATGCCACTATAACTTACACACTAAACCGCTAAGTGATGAGTTAAAAATTAATAATCTTGTCATTATTTTGGATAAAAATTCAAAAAATGTTCTGTCTAAAATTATATAGAAGAGACAAATAACACATTTGAGAAGCTTCAACCAGATGTAAAGCAAGTGTGTTAACTTGACAAATTGCTTAAACAAAATGCCACACAGCACTACTCCTCTCCTACAGAATGTCACCAGATATAATATTGTGAAGCACATTTCTCCTTGCTTTAAGTATGTCAGTCAATTGCAGTTGAACTTGGTCAAGCACTTTCCAACAGATACAGTGAGGAAAATAAGTATTTGAACACCCTGCTATTTTGCAAGTTCTCCCACTTAGAAATCATGGAGGGGTCTGAAATTGTCATCGTAGGTGCATGTCCACTGTGAGAGACATAATCTAAAAAAGAAATATCCAGAAATCACAATGTATGATTTTTTAACTATTTATTTGTATGATACAGCTGCAAATAAGTATTTGAACACCTGAGAAAATCAATGTTAATATTTGGTACAGTAGCCTTTGTTTGCAATTACAGAGGTCAAATGTTTCCTGTAGTTTTTCACCAGGTTTGCACACACTGCAGGAGGGATTTTGGCCCACTCCTCCACACAGATCTTCTCTAGATCAGTCAGGTTTCTGGCCTGTCGCTGAGAAACACGGAGTTTGAGCTCCCTCCAAAGATTCTCTATTGGGTTTAGGTCTGGAGACTGGCTAGGCCACGCCAGAACCTTGACATGCTTCTTACAGAGCCACTCCTTGGTTATCCTGGCCGTGTGCTTCGGGTCATTGTCATGTTGGAAGACCCAGCCTCGACCCATCTTCAATGCTCTAACTGAGGGAAGGAGGTTGTTCCCCAAAATCTTGCAATACATGGCCCCGGTCATCCTCTCCTTAATACAGTGCAGTCGCCCTGTCCCATGTGCAGAAAAACACCCCCAAAGCATGAAGCTACCACCCCCATGCTTCACAGTAGGGATGGTGTTCTTGGGATGGTACTCATCATTCTTCTTCCTACAAACACGGTTAGTGGAATTATGACCAAAAAGTTCTATTTTGGTCTCATCTGACCACATGACTTTCTCCCATGACTCCTCTGGATCATCCATATGGTCATTGGCAAACTGAAGACGGGCCTTGACATGTGCTGGTTTAAGCAGGGGAACCTTCCGTGCCATGCATGATTTCAAACCACGATGTCTTAGTGTATTACCAACAGTAACCTTGGAAACGGTGGTCCCAGCTCTTTTCAGGTCATTGACCAGCTCCTCCCGTGTAGTTCTGGGCTGATTTCTCACCTTTCTTAGGATCATTGAGACCCCACGAGGTGAGATCTTGCATGGAGCCCCAGTCCGAGGGAGACTGACAGTCATGTTTAGCTTCTTCCATTTTCTAATGATTGCTCCAACAGTGGACCTTTTTTCACCAAGCTGCTTGGCAATTTCCCCGTAGCCCTTTCCAGCCTTGTGGAGGTGTACAATTTTGTCTCTAGTGTCTTTGGACAGCTCTTTGGTCTCGGCCATGTTAGTAGTTGGATTCTTACTGATTGTATGGGGTGGACAGGTGTCTTTATGCAGCTAACGACCTCAAACAGGTGCATCTAATTTAGGATAATAACTGGAGTGGAGGTGGACATTTTGAAGGCAGACTAACAGGTCTTTGAGAGTCAGAATTCTAGCTGATAGACAGGTGTTCAAATACTTATTTGCAGCTGTATCATACAAATAAATAGTTAATAATAGTTAATAGTTAAAATCATACTTTGTGATTTCTGGATTTTTTTTTTAGATTATGTCTCTCACAGTGGACATGCACCTACGATGACAATTTCAGACCCCTCCATGATTTCTGAGTGGGAGAACTTGCAAAATAGCAGGGTGTTCAAATACTTATTTTCCTCACTGTAAGTAGTGTATTCAATAATCTGACACCATGGACTGGATCCACTTACCGAAAATACAGGCACAGGACTGCATTTACATCGAGTGACACTCAGCTGCACTGCAACTGTGTGTGAGCAAGAGAATGAAGGCTGATCACACTTAAGCCTCGTTTCTGTAGAAACTGGATGAAAAGTGAGTGCCATTATTAGAACACTCGATCACCTAAAACCACCTTAAGTGTGATGAAATGGAGCAGGACTACTACAAAGCCAAATTTAAAATTACTAATTACCTAAATATCATCTTCCTCCTCCAGCTGTTAGGCAGGGTTGAGAAAAGCTGCTCCAATCCTTGTCTCACACATTCACTGTGCCCATTTATGAGCCAAATGAAGTCCTAATGGTGGAATATCGATGGCCCCAACAATAGCTTTCCAGTCTCCCACTTAACAACAGTTTACACAAATTACAGAAATGACATGGTGCATTAAACAACAACTGTTTCAGTTTTGAACGACTGCCACATGGGTACGAGAGAGGAGAAGGACCCAAATGCGAGAGACAGTCTGGTTTAATGACGAAATATACCTTACAGATAGGTAGGTAGGTACGTAGGAAGGTAGACAGGTAGCAGTCAGGCGGGTTCAGTTCACAGATGCTCGGAAGAAAACCTGCAAGACAAGAACATAGCAACAACGATGAATAAAAAGATGAAAACAGCATTAGTATTTGTCCTTGTACTATTGGTATTAGTTGTAGTACTATTAGTACTAGGTCTAAGTCATTGCTGTGCATCATTATTAGTGCTGCTAGTAGTATTAGTACTACTAAGTGTCCTTCTCAACTCTGTCTATAATTGAATCCTAAAGTACCAGTTCAGAGATATGATTTCAACCTGTTTCTGGTTGAAGTCTTAAGTTTTAAGGGGCTGTATGAAAAGAGGAGGATGGTTCAGAAAGGGGGAGGGTAGTCTACATTTCTTTGGGAGAGTAGGGGGATCTCTTGAGAGCGCATCATATTCTATAGCACCTCCCACCTTTACTTTATTCTGCATCTTAACCGAGAGCAGAACTACAGTTTACCAAAATGTGTCAAAACAAATGTCATGTGTCAGCTTTTTTTTTTGTCAGCTTATGGTTGGATGGAAATTTTGGTAAACCAGACGCATCATTTTGTTATGTTTACCTTAATTGCTAATTTATTTTATTGTGTATTGTGATCATGTGCTGTGCAAATGAGCTCCAGCATTCTGCAATCAAATACGATTTTAAATTGGCCTGGTAAAAAGAAATTTAAATCAATATGTGGCGGTCAGCGTTGATATTGTGGCGGTCCGCCACAAATAAATGAACATATGGGAAACACTGATAATGATGAGGCCCCTCCCCACCCTACTAATTTTCATATAGTCCCTAAGAATATTTTAGTATTTAGTGTCCTGAAACAAGATAGAATTACAGTCCCTGAAGAGACAAAAAAAAATTAAGTTAATGCTGGTTTAAGATTTTTAATTCACACAAAGTTTCTATCCCATTTCCTGTGGTTGGTCCACTTTGCATTTACACAACCAGAACCAAACATGCAAACTCACCAGACACCACTGCATCAAACAGGTTAGGGGTGAAATTTCCTAAAAAGGACAATAAATAATCTAATCTGAAAACACCCTCAGTTGTAGACAGTATGTGGTCTAACATAAGTGGTCATAATTACAGTACTCCACTACTTGCCTCCAGAGTTAGTGCCAAGTCATCTTCACTGAGGTGTTTTTATCTTCTGTCTCAAAGAACAAAGTGGATTGAGCCTGTAAGCCCACATAGTTCTGCAGCAGCCTCTGGAAAAGTAACCGGGTTGCTAAAAATTGCATGTCATTAAAGGGAGGGAGACATTCACAAATGGTGCACAATCACTTCATTTAAGGACATGGGGAATTGTGTATATGAGTGAGCGAGACTGCGTGGATGCACACATGAAACAGAATGCAGAAGAGACACTCTCCTGTCTACATCAGTGGTGTTGAGGTGGAGCAGGTGAATAGTTTCAGGTTACTGGGAATCAGCATCACAGAGAACCTGACATGGTCATCGTTTCTGAGCTTTCGTGGAGAAAACTCAGAAACGACTGGATTTCTTGAGGAAGCTTAAGAAGGCCAAATTCCCGTGCCAAGTTCTTGTCAGCTTTTACAGAGGAGCAATAGAAAGCATCCTGACTGGAAACATCACAAATTGGCATGGGATGTGCACGGCCCAGGACCAGAGGGCTCTGCAGCGGGGTGATTAAAACTGCTCAGAAGATCATTGGTACCCATCTCCCGAGAATCAGTGATATCGGTGAGGTGAGGTGCCTACGAAGAGCCCAGAGGATACTGCTACTCTGACAGCATCAGCAGAAGGGGGAAAACACCTCTCTCCCTGTTTCTCTTTATAGTAGAAACACAGTCCTTGTGAGTGGGTAGTGTCAAAGCAAAACGATTTGGAAAATGTGTGTGGGGATACTGAAATATGGAGTGAGTGATTATGAAAGGTAGGATTTCTGTGATATTTTTGTAATTTCAGTGTATTAAACTACTGAGTTTGAATGATGCTGTTACTGAACCACACAATGCTGTCTTTATGTATCTCATTAGATGTGAGAATGTGTGGCGTCATTGCAAGTATATTTCGTGAATTATAATAACCCAAATAGTACCTTCAAAAATTGCAAGATCTTTTGTAGATAATAATAATGCAGTTGAAAAGAATTGTATAGTAGAAGGAGGTGTCAATATTGTTTGTCAACCAGAGGTTATTAACAATTTATATATCATCAATTTATAATACCAACCAGTTCGGATGAGTTCTTGAGCTTCGTTTCATTTGTCTTTAGGATTAACGACATTCAAGGAAGAGGTTTGTTTACATCCAACTCACTCAAATGTGACCGAATAACACTCCCCCACCTCTTTGTTGCCACAGACTGGGAAGCTCGGATCGACAGCCATGGCAGAGTTTTCTATGTGGACCATGTGAACCGGACCACAACCTGGCAGAGACCGACACACGGCAGCAAGTGTAACCACGGCATCCCCCGCTCAGGATCCACCCAGCAGATGGAACAGCTCAACAGGAGGTCAGACTGGGGACACAGAGAGGGAGCTCCAACTGTAATGATCAGCAGGCACTCGAGTGTCAGCCAATATCGACAAACAACAGGATCTGTATCTCCTCCTTTATCTTGTCCTATATGACCTCTTACACTTTAACACTTTATTTCAAAGTAGACTCTAACCTAAATCAATCATGTGGCACGTGTTGACAATTTTTCTAATCTCTAGCATATTTGTTTCTCTTTTAGAACTAAATTGGTTAATATGATATAATATTTTTGTCATGGTGGCAGCAATACATCATATCAATGAAATATCATATCATAAAATAATAAAACAAAATAAACATAATTTAAAATGATTAAATATGAAAACTGCTAAATATTCACATAAAAAAAACAAAAAAAAAACAGGGATACTGATGCAAGGCTGTGTTAGAGTGCAAAGTGGTTCATGTCTGTCTGTGTACAGTAACCACAGTGCGCAATGAGTATTTTAACCTACAACAATAAATATAATAAATAGATGTTTTAGTGTTACAGGGTTATTGCACCATGATCACATGACGTATTTAACTGTCCAGTACTATATACCAAAAAACATCTGAATATTTGGTTTTTAGTTGAGTTGTTGTTAACCAAACAATCTTTTTGAACTGAAAAGTGCTGAAAGAAGGAAACAAGTAAAGAGGAAATGAGGGAGTGGGTGCAAAGCCTCAGTCACTTCAGTATTCTAAGCTGCATACAGGCCTGTAGTGGAGTTATACTGACATCTGGTGACTGGAAAAGAAAGTCAAACCATTAACGTTTAGGAAGCATTTTATGGTAATTAAGCTCATATGAAAAATACAGTAACATAATTCAAAACCGTCTGCATGGTTTCCTCCTACAATTCAAAAACATGCATGTTTATTAGTGACTCTGAATTGCCCATAGGTGAGTGTGAATGTTTTTTTGTCTCTATGTGTCAGCCCTGTGATGAACTGGTTCAGGGTCTAGGGTACAGCCCCCCAGTGACCCTGTAAAGGATAAGCTGGATGGAAGGATTATAAATAGCACTAGTAGCTAGACAGGTCTCCAAACATGTGAAATGTGTTTCTGTGAAAGGTGCAGATCCCCCTGACAAACCCAGCAATACTTCACAAGCCAAATGAAGAAACATGCTTCATACTTCATACTTCATACACGTATGAGGACGACTTGTTGTTTGTGCAGGTACCAGAACATCCAGAGGACCATGGCCACAGAGGAGGACGGTGGGAGTCAGAGGTTAGAGCGCAGCGGCAGTACAGAGACTGATTCAGATGCTCCTCAGACAGGTACATTCCTGTAGTAGGATTGTGATCATGCTCATTTGTGGGACTACAGACTCTTCACCATTTGAAGGCATAAATACTGGTTCTATTTTCTATCAGCTTATTTTCTGATGCAGTACTTTTTCCCACTGTAATTTCCTTAAACATATTCAATATTATATTTATTATTGGTATGTACCATGTACCTCGGTCAAACCCTACTTCTGTAAACTGCCTTAAAATACTATACAGAGAAAGTAATTGCCCTGTTGTGTCTGCAGGCCCCGCCTCCCCTGTCAATCACCAGAAGATCAGCCATCTCCTCCAATCACCTGCTGTCAAGTTCATCACACACCCAGAGTTCTTCACTGTGTTGCACAGTAATTATGTGAGTACCTCACGCACACACCATCGTGTTTCCATCACTTATCCTAACCTTAACTTTAACCTAAAGCTAACCTTACTCTAACCAACACACACACACACACACACACACACACACACACACACACACACACACAATGCATTGCTTATATACAGTTTATTGTGCTAAATTAGTTACAGTTTGTATAGATGTATTTGTTGAAATAGCAACTGACAGTATAGACCACTGGATTAAAATAACCATACTGGAGGTTGAAAACATGTCCCTCTTTTAGTAAAGAGCCACGTCTCTGCTTTCAGTCGACTAACTACACTGTGCCAGTCTCAAACATTTTCCACAGCACAAACAACAAACAAGTCAACAAATAGCCTTCTGCTGAAAGTATGCATGGATGATGCAAACAGTAAGCAGACCCTGATGTCATGAAAAGGTTAAAAATACATCTGGTGATATTCTATATTTTTCTATTATCATCAAATCTCATGAAAAAACTGTACTCTATTCCTCTGAGCCGTAGAGCTCCACTGAAACTATTAAACCCATCAGTGAGCCTCACTTCTGACCTGGGTCACACGTTCTAACATCATCATTCTGACTCAGTACCACATACACCGTCCTGCTGCCCCTGATACTCACTAGAGCACCGGTTTAAGTAAGATGCACTAAAAACTACAGTGCAGAGTGCACACAGGTAGGAAAACAGGCAGGTCCTGCGACAACCACAGATACTGGATTTCACTTTTGTGTCCGAGCATTTGACTTATTGATTTCAGATACCACAAAAATGCTTCTGAAATGCAATACCCAGTCCCGCTTTAATGGAATGACCGCCTTTTTTATTTGTGAGCTATTTTTAAAGATTTACATCTTCAGTAGAAAACTGATCAAATCCTTTAGATCCTTTGATTTCTACCTGTGTTTCAGTCCTTTCAGTGAATTTGTAGAATTTGACAATATAATAGAATATCTCCAACCACAGTCTTTCATATGAATTTAGGAATTTCTTGAATTGAAAAAGTTGTTTTTCATCAGCCAACTGAAATCTCAGATGTCACAGCATTGGAAATGAATCCAAAGTTTGAAAACATTTCCTGCTTGACACTGAGGAAAGCATCTATTTAGATACACACACCCTTCTTCCCTCACTCACAAATGCATAGCCAAAATAAGATCAAAACAGCTTTTTGAGTGCTTTATTAACTTTAATAAATGTAAAGGTGAACTTGTAGGTGTTCTCTCTCCAGGCAGCCTACCGAATGTTCACCAGCAGCAGCTGTGTGAAACACATGATCCTGAAGGTGCGTCGTGATGCCAGGAACTTTGAGCGCTACCAACATAACCGGGACCTGGTGGTTTTCCTCAACAAGTTCGCAGACACTCAGCTGGAGCTGCCAAGAGGCTGGGAGATCAAGACTGACCCCCAGGGCAAGGTAGGTCACATATGTAGAATTCATGTAGAATCACAATCAAGTTTATTACAGTAAAAATGTTGCCAAATTTGCCTTGGTATTTTGGACACTTAAAGCTGCGTTAGGCAACGATGGAGAAACCAGCAAGAGACAGCAAGGAATAAATCCCACCAAAGCCAGTATCCAGAACACATGTTCATGTGCAGCGAGTGCACGGCCAGAGTGTGCACAGGTAGACAGGCAGTTAGGCAGCTAAGCCAGCCAATCATTTCTTTCAAGCTGAAGGAACGATGATAAGTTCATGTTGAGTGTAGATCCCGGTTTGAGGGCGTGTGAATGTGTGTGCATGAATGAACTGATTTGCTCAAGAATGTATGAAGGGAAAAGAGAAAAAGAAAACATAATAAATAAATACTGAAGAGAATGAATGAATGAAATTCATTAAAATACTATTACAAAGAGCCATTATGTCAAAGGCAGGTCATTTAAAATCACTGTTTTCAGTCCATTTTTTTCTGTCTCAGTCTTTTTTTGTGGACCACAACAGTCGAGCCACGACCTTCATCGACCCTCGCATCCCTCTGCAGAATGGCCGGCTGCCCGGCCACCTTGCCCACAGACAGCATCTGCAGAGACTACGCAGCTACAGCGCTGGGGAGGTACTCACACACCTTTACTACCTGTCCAATCATGGATCCACACTAGTTACATTTGAATCCCAAACTACAGCTCTATCATTACCCGAGCTTCTGCTTATGTCCAGGCACATTGGTTCCTGCTGAAGACATAAATCTGAAAAGACAGCTTCCAAATATATAGTTTAATTTTTAGCTGAGTTATTTCCTCAAACAGCTGCTCCCTGTAGTTTTTATTAAACAAGAGGACAGTGCTTATAATATAATGTCAGACTGTGAGAGTCAGCGGTGTCCTGTTGGTGTTTGTTCCCAGGCCTCTGATGTGTCCAGGAGTCGGGGGGCTTCTCTGATGGCCAGACCTGGAAACAGCCTGGTAGCCGCCATACGAAGTCAGCATCATGCTGACTCACAACAACTCAGCGCTCCGTGTAGGCACCGCCGTAATGTCTGTCATTTGAACACAATGTTTATCTCTTACTGATTCTTTTTCTAATGACCCTTTCTTGGACCACTGCCTGACTGCTTCTCTCTGTTTGTCTCCATCTCTCTAGCTTACAATGACAAGATAGTGGCGTTCCTTCGACAGCCAAACATATTTGACATGTTGCAGGAGCGACAGCCCAGCCTCAGCAGAAACCACGCACTGAGGTATGCTTCTTTCTTAAAGAATTCATCTATGCTGTCTGCTTTGGTTTTTATCCTATCATACATATCAGGTGAGAGTTCCTGGTCCACAATGCTTGTTCCATGCATAAATTCACACATTCATCTGAAGCTATTGTGATGCTTCTACAGAGTTCTTTGGTATTTTTCAAAGATACAATTTTTACTACTTAATTCCCTCTTTGTGTTCATTGCAGTTCAGTGGTAGATGATTCTTGTTCTTGTTCATCTTCTACTTTTTCTTCTTTTCCTGCACTTCAGTTCTGAAATCTCACGCACTGCCCAAGCAACAGAAATTAAACTAAATGGTGGGATGAGAGTGCTAGGGTTCATAATCTGTCATCAAGTAAGAAATTGTACACTGTGTCTTAGGTCACTTTAACTCTTGTAGTTTGGTTCATTTCATCCAGACCAAGGCAGAAAATATTTTAGTTCTGATCTGTCGTTTTTCACACAAACAATCCACACCAGGGTCTGAGGCCCCATCTACACTACTCCGGAACTCTTTATAACTTTATAACTTTTATACTAAAACGACTGAAAACGCACATCAGGTGGCCGATCACTGGGCATGCCCAGTGTAAACATGAAGCAGATGGTCTATGGTCTACAGAAGATTTGACTAAAGAATAAAGTACCACAGACGAAGAACCACACCAGATTTTTTTTGAATGGACCAATAACGAGCTTGGACTGTTACTGAATGTAAAGTGGCCGTGGCGGCAGAAAACAGACTGGGAGTAAATACAGCGTCATACACAGTACAAGTGTAGGCTTTAAGTGTTATTTGCACAGCACAAAATATTTTAATAAAAATACCAAATCAAAAACTCTGTCAGTAGCATCGTGTTTCTGCTTTGCATGACTTATGAGACCCAATCAGAGAGACAAACGTGAGCGTCTGCGTCATTGTATCTAAAGTCCTTGGGTTTTGCCCATCTTCACTAAAACTTTAAAATTTTAAAATAAAAAACGGGGTCGGCAGCGTTTTCAAACTTGATACAAACTCCGTTTTAGGTCTTCGTTTTTGCCGTTTCAGTCTGTACGGGAGGTGCAAATATCATAGAAGGTCTCTGTTTTAAAACTAAAGCGCAGTAGTGTGGATGGGGCATGAGTGGACGCAGATCAAAACCCACCTTTTGAGAGACTCTCTGTCCGGTTGTGCCCTTACGGTGCATTTAGAGCGATTTCAAACCTGTAGTTCATTTGCTCTGGTCTGACACCGTGGATTATCTATTAAACATGTTGCATTTCCCCATACAGTTTTTCTTTACGTAGAAAAACATTCAAGCAAACCAAAATGCATCACTGAAAGCCTCATGAGAATGAAACAGAAAATAGGTCGTATTTTCCCAAATATCAACAAGACCTTGTTGCTAGTCCAGGACAGACTTTTATTCATTCTCAGGCTATTGAAACTTGTTGAGTACACCTTGTAGTTGGGCCACATCAAGGTTGGATCACACACAAATGAACCGCTCCACCCTTACACCTAACCAACCAACACCAGGGCTGATTGGTTAGACTTTGTTTCGTTCCTGACCATTCATACCAATTTTCTTTTTAACATGTTTGATGTTTGACTGACACTGGCAACTAATCCAGGGGGAGACATATCGGTAAATAAACCGAGCACCTCACCTCTCTGTGCCTTTTCCCTCCTTTTTTGGTTTTTCAGCACAAATGCTTCTGTATACACACAGTGCAAGCTGCTGGCTAACATCCATGTATGTTTTAGTCAGAACAGGCCACAGGTGCCGTTGTCGAGGGATTTGCAGTCATCTACCTCCAGAGCTCAGTGGTTACGGACCATTGTGTTTCCTGATGCATTTAAGCTGTGGTTAACTTTGCGCTCCCTCCTTACTGTCAACGACTAAAAGATGTGTGCAAGCTGGCGGAAGCGGTCTTTGTGTAGTTTGTCCAGTCTTTGTCCCAAGTTGGTTTGAGATTTCCAACATACAGCTGGAAATGAACTGTCAGTGTAGAATGATTAAGCTGCTTTATATATATGTGTTATATCATGGATGAATGGCTCGTGCCTTGTGCTCAGTTATAGCTTATTGGTAGGCTGTGATTAGAACCTGCATTTAAGTACATTTTGATCACAAAAGTACTCCATGAATCTCAGTACCAAACCCAAATGTTTACCTTTTGAATTACAGTCAGTATAGAAAAGGAACAAATAAGAAAGACTATGTTTTGTTGACTGTTTAGGGAGAAAATCCACTACATTCGGACAGAAGGTACTCAGGGGGTGGAGAAGCTGTCATGTGATGCCGATCTAGTCATCCTTTTAAGGTAACCCAGTGTGCCCATGTTGGGTAACACCTCTTCTCTTTTAGAGTGATTTACTCCCAAATGTCTAAATTCACAACTGAGGCTTGGACTTTGTGTAGTTCAGATAAATGATGTCCTCTGTGCGTTTCTGTGTCCTGTTCTTGTAGTTTATATGAAGAGGAAATCATGTCCTATATTCCGCCTCACCCCATCCACCCTGGCTTCAGCTTCTCTCCTCGCTGCTCCCCCACCTCTTCACCACAGAACTCTCCTGGTAAGTCTGCCAGCCAACCAGTCACACATTTTTGGAGTTCAGATAGTTGACACCAACTATTTTCTATAAATGTCCTTCCTAATGTTCCTACTGAAAACATACTTTTCAAGGTGTCCTTTCCTAATTAATAAAAGCAGCACACACAGTCTTATTTACAAGGTTGTTCATTTGTCATTATACAGCACAAGGTTGTATAACGAAACAAAATTAGTAGTCCCTTCATGCTACACACACAGTCGTTAATATGTAATTGAAAGTATATTAAAATATATAACATATAAAATAAAATAAAGCAATTCATACAGTTATTTATATACATAATAACTATTAGGCTACACATGTATACCCAGAACATTCTGCAGTGCAGTTTTTGAATTTGCACCTGGGGAGAATGTAAACAGCAGCAACCAGATGATAATATGCAAGTTTCATCTTCACATTAAATGTCAAAAACAAAAGTGTAGCAAAGTTTGAAGGAGCTGCCAGCTGCTGCTTCTACAAGTGCCGCCGGTTGCTTGTAAATCCTCTGTAAATGTGAAAGGAATCTGTTAATGATCTCTGTCGTTGTCTGTCATTTCTTATTTTGGTTGCTGGGTGACAAAAGGAAAGCTGGCTCACACTTTAAAGCCATTTCATCACTTAACTGCTATAAAGCCCTGAATTCTGAAAAGAGCTTCCTGCCTAGCTGACATTAAATGTGAACATTTATCCAAAGTCATGATCATAAGCAGTGGAACATTTTTTCATATATTGTGCTTTATGCTATGTTATACTTTGACTCTGCTACATTATATATTGTATAATATCTGGAAATATTGTCTCTTTTTTACCACTAGATGCACTTTAAAATCCAATAATATAATAATAAAACCCTCTGGATGTAACATAATCAGTACTTTTACTTAAATGGCATTTTGTTGATAATACCTCTGTACTTTTATGAAAGCAGCATTTTGAATGCAGGAATCTATTTCTAAGTATTTTGACATACAGTATAGTATTTGTGCTTTTACTTGAGTAAAGGATCTAAATACTTCCTCCACCATTGTGTTACAGAAAATGTTGCCTCTTATGAAAAAAGTCTCTACCTGTCATTCACAGACTCACAAAACTCGCGCCTTAAATCATTTCATTTTAAACAAAGACCTTTTGCAGTGTTTCATATTAACTTCTCTTGTATATTTTCTTTTCTTCTTTTATTTCTGTTCTGTGTGTGTGTGTGTGCGTGCGTGGGCACGCAGGCTTGCAGAGGGCCAGGGCTCCAGCTCCTTACCGCAGAGACTTTGAAGCCAAACTAAGAAACTTCTACAGGAAATTAGAAGCCAAGGGCTACGGCCAGGGACCAGGCAAGATCAAGTAAGACTCAGTGCAGATTACACAACTAAACTTATTGAACCATAGACTTTCCAAACACTGTTTTATTATATGCTCCCATTAAATTGTAGCAGTTATACAGTAGATAATAGGTAGTAAATATCCAGGTAGTAAATCAGACACAGCTCAGAGTGCTTTTTCCGACATTTCTAAAATAATCCCAATCTGGCCCCAGAAATACAGTATGTGTTTAATGATCTGCATCATTTTATTTATGATATTTGATCTATTGTGTAACAACATATAGTAGTACAGTAGTATATGTTCACTGTGCTTTGTCCAGGGAGAAAGGGCCAGTGAGGTAATGTCCTCTAAAAGTTGTGTTTTGGGAATTTGGGTTCCAGTAAAGAATACATTTAAATTTAAATACTTTCAGGAATTAACTACCTACCAACAGAATTGTATTCCTGCCCTTGTAGGGAACGCTTTGAAACTAAATTCAGACCTGCATGTTAGAAAAATTTAACAAAAAATGAAGTTGGATCAATAAAATGTGAAAAATCCAAATCATTCAAAGATTTTATAGACTATAGTTCTTTTGTTGTCTGGTCAAACTTTGGAGGGGGTCCAGGGGAGACTAAAGCTGTACCCTGCATGGAGATAGTCTCAGTGAGATGTGTGGCTGTCCTTGTTGTTGCAGGTTGTTGATCAGGAGAGAACACTTGCTGGAGGGAACTTTTAACCAGGTGATGGCGTACTCCCGCAAAGAGCTGCAGAGGAACAAACTCTACGTCACTTTTCTGGGAGAGGAGGGGTGAGAGTCACAAACACACACACACCAACACACACACACTCTGTCGGTGCAGGAAGCTGCAGGTTTCACATGACGCACAGGAGTGGTCATGACAACACACTCTTAGTGTGACTAGAATCTGCAGGCTGAAAAAGGAAAAGGTTTGTTAATGAAATGTATGAAAGAGGTAGAGAGGAACAGATTTGAGAGTGAGCGAGGAAGACTGAAAGAGAGAGAGTGGTTGATTAATTCAAAGTGAGAGGGACAAATAGATTAAGAATAAAGAGAGAGAGAGAGAAGAGAGTTCATGCCATTAAAGCTTCTCGAGAGGAGCCCTATCAAGCAAGGCTCTCAAGATTCAGGATTTAAGATGGGAGGGTCACTGATATGTTACCAAATCAAAGTACGATTCCGTAACGCACTACACTCTCTATCACAGCATGATAAAATAATAATAAATAATCTCAATCTGATCACTTGGGTTTGCATCTGACATGCTTGGAGGGCAGTGGTGATGTTTCACAGAGGTCCTGAGCATTTACATAATTATTATGATTTGAGCACAGTAAGCATAAAACAATGCATCAAAATGTTTTCTCTGTCACAAGGGTATTTTCATTCCACATTTATGTAGATCAGAGGAAGACTGTATTATCAGTTTAACTGTACAAATACACCATGAACCAAATGCGTAAAAATGTCCTTTCTCTCTCTTCTTGTCTCTTCAGATTGGACTACAGTGGTCCGTCCAGAGAGTTCTTCTTCCTCTTGTCTCAGGAGTTGTTCAATCCGTACTACGGCCTGTTTGAATACTCAGCTAATGATACTTACACCGTTCAGATCAGCCCCATGTCAGCATTTGTTGAGAACCATCTGGAATGGTAAGCTGTGCACCACAAACACACACACACACACACACACACACACAGTGAATCATTATTCGGTAAAACTTGCTGAAATTACTGAGTGAATTAACTATGAAACGTGAGCACACATTGAATGTGTCCTTAAGAGGTTGTTTCATTTTAGTTTTTGTACATAATCAAAACTTAATAATATTTACTGTCATTTATTAAGGGAAATAATGAAAACCCCTATAGTTTGCCATGTTGCTCTACGTGACTGAGAAATATTATAATATAATGTGATATATACTGTGTGTATTAAAGAAATTAGTCTGACGTCGGCAGAGACATTTGGCTCATTTTACGTGTTCATGTGAGACTGTCAAAGTGATTCTAATGTTTTCTGTGCGTGAGTCCAGGTTCCGTTTCAGTGGTCGTATCCTGGGCCTGGCTCTGATACATCAGTACCTGCTGGATGCTTTCTTCACGAGACCCTTCTACAAGGCCCTGCTCAGACAGTCAGTACTCACACCCACACGTACCATAACGTTTGTCGTTAAAACAATAGAAGGAAATTAACTTTATAGAAATCTAATCTTGTGAGGGTATATGTTTGTCTTTCTAGACACACAGACACTTGTTCATGTGCATGCAGAGAACTCTTCTGAAAATGCAATGGTACGATAGAGTTGTGGTGTGAAAGGAGTTATTTCAAGCATCTCGGGTTCTGGAAGAAAAATCCCATATATTTGCTGCACGGACAAGTCACAAAGTAGTTGATGGTTAAAGGCTTGGATAGACATAAACCTCTCCCTGTTGAATCATCACTACAAAAGATGAACAGCTGCGTTATAATATATTTGATACAAGCCTGTGTACATAACATTAGAAGATGAGTAAACTACAAATCCTAAGACGCATTTCAAAAGCATCCAATTGCGAAGCTTAAAGAGGTGATGTTATGCTCTTTGGCTTTTCCCCTCTCCTTTATTGAGTTATATACCTTTTTTGTGCATATACTAGGTTTGCAAAGTGAAAAAGCCCAAAGTCTACACCAAAGGGAGTTCCCATCTCCCACAGAAAACTCTGCTCTGAACTGCCTGAAAACAGCTCATTTGTAGTCCAGCCGCCTCATACAACTCTCGCGGAGCGGCTAGTCAGACACACCCTCAAAAACACTGGTGGAAAAACACTGAGCTGCAGCACACACCTTTCCACAGTTGTTACTGTGATGTAGAGAAAGAGCTCAGTTAAAACTTTATGGATGAAGATTTGTTACAGATTAATAACTCACCACTCTGAAACTCTTGCTCCAGTCCATGTTGCTAAGCTGGTAAAGGGAAACATATACATGCTGAACCGAAGCCGTGTTTACCGGTTTCTCACTGACCCGCCCTTCTCTGCTTCTGATTGGCTAATAGTCCTTAACTAGGAACTGTGCAACTCCCAACAAAGATCATTTAGAGACAAGATGTATCACTCCGTAGCTAAAATGAAGCCTTCAACACAGGGTGAAAAGAGGAGCTACAGCAATGTGCAGTATGACAAAAAATGTGGTGTTTTTTGAAAATTAAACCATGTAAATCTGTTCTGGTACAACCTCTAAATAGGATTTTGAACCTGATAATGAGCATAATACCACCTCTTTAAAATTAGAATAAATTCAACAGCTGTGGTACAGTGTTTTGCTCCCAGCTACTGACATGAATCTGCGCTGGCTAACTGATTAGCAGACGGGCACTGTGTAATTTAGTGGGCTGTATGTGTGAGCGCTGGGTGTCTCTCAGGCCGACAGACCTGTCTGATCTGGAGTATCTGGACGAGGAGTTCCACCAGTCTCTGCAGTGGATGAAAGACAACGACATCACTGACATCCTGGACCTCACCTTCACCGTTAACGAGGAGGTCTTTGGCCAGGTCAGCGGGTGTTTGAGTTACAATGTAAACCACATGCATGTGAGCTGTTGTGCTCTTTAGGATATACATATTATTATTATTATAGATATCCACAAGGACAAGCTGTTAATATGCTGCTTAGATGACTTGAACTGTTAACTAGACCCAGTGCCTCCTGTGTTGCAGGTGACGGAGCGGGAGCTGAAGTCGGGAGGCTCCAACCTCCAGGTGACTGAGAAGAACAAGAAGGATTACATAGAGCGAATGACCAAATGGAGGGTGGAGAGAGGAGTGGTGCAGCAGACAGAGGCGCTGGTCCGAGGCTTCTACGAGGTAAACAATACTGTTTCACTTCTCAGAGAAGATTTTTTTGTCATTTATAAATACTCACTATAAGGCTGTAGGTCTACTGTAAGCCAGCTATAGGGAGCAACATTTGAAACAGAACCCAACAATGAGACAAGAAGATAACATAATAAGTCGTTGTTTTCCTCCAACCCAGGTGGTAGACTCCAGGCTGGTGTCAGTGTTCGATGCACGGGAGCTGGAGCTGGTCATCGCCGGGACTGTAGAGATCGACCTCAGTGATTGGAGGAGCAACACAGAGTACAGAGGAGGTGTGTACGAAACTGTTCCTAAAATCCTTATAGGCCCCTCTTACTCCTAGCATTAACAGAAAAACGTCCTACATCTGGATGTAGCCTGACTCACACTGTGTTTGAGTCTCAGGCGGGTGTGAATGCAGTCTGTACACTTTGGCCAAATTATTAGTTTGACATTAAGTGTATTTCCATTTTTTCCCAGAGTAAGATGAGAAACCCCCCTGATTGTCTGTATGCTTAATATAAAATTGGAGCCAGGCAGCAAGCAGCTTAGCTAAGCTTACCACATAAACAAACAAACAAACAAAAAAAAGGGTATTTTGCCAAATTTCAAACTAAATAATATTGACAGACCACACAAGTGTACAGATGCTGGTAGCAAATTTACCTTTGGACAGAGCCAGGCTAGCTGTTTCCTCCTGCTAAGCAGCATCACGTTTACCATTCAGACACAAGAGTTGTATCAGCCTGATATCATTCCCAGCAAGCAGCTCCGAGTCTCCAGTGGACATAATCCTGGTGTGATTGGATCTTTCTGTAGTGAGGGGAGTTTACCAGAGTTCAGAGTCAGAATGTTTTCTGTTTTTTGTACTCAAAATGCCAATATTGACCTTTTGAAGTTACATTTAAATACAGTATGCATTCATAAAAGAACTGGTATAACCTACACTCGTCTATGCAAAGCCCCTAACCAGAGTGAACCTGCCTCCCGATCACTAGGTTACCATGATGGGCACATAGTGATGCGGTGGTTCTGGGCCGCTGTGGAGCGGTTCAACAATGAGCAGCGTCTTCGTCTGCTGCAGTTTGTCACCGGGACGTCCAGCGTGCCCTACGAAGGCTTTGCCACGCTGCGGGGATCTAATGGTCTCCGACGGTTCTGCATTGAGAAGTGGGGCAAAGTCACATCACTACCCAGGTATCTAACCTTGTTTCCCTTAAAGCCATGCTGCCAAGCCTACTCTCATTAAATATTCTAATAATGAGACTTTTTTCCTTAAAGTCAAAGCCCTGCTGCCTACTTGATGAAAGGTGTGCTCCACTACTTAGACACAACCAGGGGTTTTGTAAAGTTGAAAAATGATCCGGACTGTCAAGCAATCCTCAGAAGGTTCCCTCATCATACACAATCCTGCTGCGGCAGATACTCACTGGAGTACCACCTGTGGATATATCCGCCGTTGAAACAGTCCGCAAGAAATGCTCTATTACCTTCTGTTTGAGCAACGTTTCATAAAAACTAGTGATCTGAGTCTTTTTTAAAGTAAATGTTTTTAGTTGTGATCCTTTTTTAAGCTTTACATCTTCAGTAGGAACCAATGGGCTTGGAGCTGGGAGACGCAGACAGAAAGTTTTGTAAGACAAACTAACATATTGTTGGTTTGGCTTTTTAATGGGATTTATGACAAAAAAATCAGAACATCACCAGCCAGTTTACTGCAGTGACAACAACCAGAATCTATTGGGGGCTATATTAAAATGATCATGAAAACTTTCCACAACAGCATTATAATGTTCCACATATGTATGTGTTATTTGGGTAAAACTTTAAATGAAAATGCAATTTCCACATACTTATATGGGCATTGGATGACCATATTAAAATGAGTTGTACTATGTTTTACAGTGGACAATATTCAAATGTTAATTCAAAATGAAAATGCAATATAATCAATGTAACCTGATTTTCCATTTGTGTAAGCAGTATTAAGTCACACTTGAAAATGAAAATGGCAATTGGCATTTCATTTTCAAAGACTTAACTTGCAGACAACTTGCAGCAGACAATATTTATATATAATATAAATGCAGCGCAGCACCCCCAGTCTATTACATTTTCATGTTACCGTGCTCTTTTGGTGCCAAAATGAAATGAAATGCAATCTGTTACTCTGCTCATCAAGGCGGGTCTTCAGTCAGGACGTCACATCCCCATTCAGTAACTTGGTTCATTAACATTTACAAGTTCCGTCCACTGACCTGGGCGCACATCGGAGAAGTTTGCCCTCAGGCCAGATATCTAGGTACCACTTTACTGTGATATAATTTATGAAATACAAATACAGAATGAGAAAACAGTGAAAATGCCATCACAGTACCCTAGAGCTGAGTGTGAAACAATCAAATGTGAAATCAAATGTATGAACTGAGAACACTAACCACCTCACTGTCAGTAAACACCGTTAAGACTCTTGTTTCCCACATGTCGACGTAAATGAAATACAAAACCAGAATAGAACGGGGAAACAATTTTAAATTGTCTCTACAGCTTGTTTCAACATAACTCTGCTTTCATACAAAGCCTTTTTCTCTTGTAAAATAAATCCTTCTGAATTGAGCAAAACAGCAACTCAGTTTGTAAAATCATCAGGAGGCATCATTTAGCATCACAGCCAATGAAATTGTCACAAAAAGTCACCTCTTGTGTATTTTCGTGTGCAAAGCAATACTTTTGGGCTGTTGTCACTGCAGGTCATGTACTATACTTAGCACTTTGGACCAGTAATGTGACCTGAGAGGTTTGGAAGGCAGACGTGTCATTAAGGTTGTTCCTTTCAGAAGTGCAAGGCGGTTATTAAAACTGCCTGCCACCTCAAGCATTTTGGTTTAGATTATATTATTTCTTTACTGGCACCTGAAGCTTTACATACAGTGTAAAGCTCGGACATTGCCCAGTTCACTATAGTGCACCAGCTCAGTAGAAGAACTATTATGGTATGTCCCCTCATCTGTAGTGCAGGTAGATCTGATAATGTGCAAGGTGTGTTCCTCTGACCTTACAGTAGGACTTTCATTTGGCAAACACACATTAAAATGTGAACGTGCTCAGCAGAAACAGAGAGCAGGGCTCAGGTTTCACTGCAGAGCAGGGGACAATGCGCACAATAAATCTTATATACTGTATGTAGATGTGATGAAATTTCAGTATTGAATTGAGAAATTCCTTTTGAGTTCTCATACCAACAGGTTTGCATTAATTAAAACGTGTTTATATTTGGACGTCCAAAATAGATACATCTGGTGTGCTTCAGTTATTCCCTTGTGATCCTCCGTTCTCTCTAACAGGCTGCCTGTCTCTCACTCTGTCTCCCTCTCAGAGCTCATACGTGTTTTAACCGCCTGGACCTGCCTCCGTACCCTTCCTACACCATGCTGTATGAGAAACTGCTGATTGCGGTGGAGGAAACCAGCACATTTGGCCTGGAGTGAGAGACAAACCAACACTGCATCCCTCTCTGTGCAACGCTGGCTGGGCTAAAATGCAAGAGAAAAAGCAGCTCTCGTGTGCTGTACTGCCTGGATTGTACTCAACAACGTTTTTGGTCATGTGGATCTATGTACATCACTGTTATGGTACCGTGTGTTAGAGTCCACAGTATGACAGTGTGTGTGTGACAGCACCACAGCAGGACTACGGTTATTTTTATATTAATCACTAAGACTGAAGAATATGAAACACTAAAACAGCGTTTTTTTTAAATATTTATATATGTGTATATATATATATATATATCCAGTATATGCATATCTGAAGAAGGGGTATGTAAAATTGAATCAAGATCATTTAAGTTGCATGTAGCAAAATGCATCATCCATCCAAAGGTAAAATTCTACAGTAATAGAAAACGCTAACAGACAACAAACTAACAGCAACAAGAAAACCTATAGCTACACAACTAGAACTTTACATAAAATCTATGAAAGCTAAATACTTGAGAACTTGTTGGAACTTATATTTAAATTTATCCTTACACCTGGGATGAACATTTGAATTCACAGAAAAGAGTTAAATGATAAAGTAAAAACAAAGAGAAACAAATAGAATAGAATCAGAAAGAAAAATAAAACAAATTTAGACAAAACAAGCATTTAATAGAAACAGAAATTAGGAAAGAAATTTATACTGGACAAATAACATTAAGCGTGCACATAAAACAGATCTTCAGGTTTGTCATTTGTTACACCAAACAAGAATTGGAGAAGTTATAATTATAGTAATAATGTTGGCTAATTAAGCAGTTAACATTTAAAAGAGCTTAGAACACACACATTTTTACATTTACGTTTGTACTTTTCTGTGAATTCAAACCTGAATTCGAATGAAGTGTGCAAATTCCAGCACACCAGATCCTCAGGTGGTTTGCTGCTCTAACACATTCAGATAGATCTAAATGTGGCTTTAAAGAAGTGGTTCAAAGCATAATACAGATTTCCAAAAGCTCATCAGATAGATGCAAAGTCTGGTAGCCCTGATGCCAAAGGAACAATCATGAGTGGTTTTTAATCTGAAGAGCCTACGAGGATCATTATGTATTTTGTCTGGACCTTGGCGGGCCGATAGGAGCCTGCCTGAGGATCGTGTACACAAGGAATTAGAGTGATGTAGCTTGGTGCCAGACACCAGTCATTTCAGGGTGACCAGTGGAACTTTACAATCAACTCTGAAACTATAAACAATGTAAAGATGCTTACATTATATAGATCTTGTCTGTTTGCTCCAGTCAGTGCTGTAGCTACCCCCGATGAGAGGGGACATTTTGACAATAGACAGAGCTGCAGAAGTTCAAGCAACAGGGATTACTTTTTCTAGACCACTTAGCTTTTTGGCTTAAGTTGAAGACATCATGGCTAATGACAGCAATTAATAAATCCTGCACTTTGCAAGTTGACTAAGAAGAGAGGCTGGGCTATCCCTGTTTTCTTTACACAGATAGATGTAAAGGTAAAAATGTGTTTGTAGATAATTTAAAAGAGGCCAGAAAGAAGCCTGCAAATTGATAAGAAAATAAATAAGTAAATGTGAGGAACCTGAGGACCCGATGAGGATTCAGATAAGATGACTACAGTGAGTAGAAGCTGGGCCACTGAAAAATACGTCAGTGTCCATAATGCTGTTAAAATATTCAACAAGCTCCTCAGTAATGAGCAGAGACACAAGAGAAGTGCTTAAAGCCTTTCAAGAATTGGTCTGACACGGTCTGGCACAGTGAAACTGTGGAAAGAGTGAAATAGGATTACTTCATAAACAGCTTGTCCTTTGGTGAAATTCAGATACAGTACACTGCCTGCAAATCAAAAAAGGTAAAGGGTGTAGTGTACTCCTTTAAACAGGTGGATCTAATGGGATGAATAACTACTACAATACCTTTTCCAGTTCTGATACTCAAGAAGTTCAGTCCAAAGTGAGGACAGCAGCCGGCCACAGACTCTCACGTTCTCCTCTGGATAGACAGCAATGTTACTGACAGAGAACTGAAAGTGTCTTGTTCTGCAGTGCTTTCAAAAGCAGAGATGTCACATCCCCTGATAAAGTAGCCATCAACTCCAACACAAGGGCTTCTGTGAGACTGAAGGTGACCATGTGATCAAGCAAACAGGTAGTTCATGAATCCTTGACGACAAAGAATGCATGTGGACGTTGTGTCCGCAGCTGGCTGAATCCTGTTGGCCAGAGTGGTGCTTCCTCTGTCGGCGTCTCTGCTCCTGCCGTATGAGCGGGAGCTGCTTGTACTCTTATTCAAGACCTCCATTGATGAACTCCCTCTCTTTGTAACGTCTCCACAGTGTTGCTCTTTGCACGGAACAGCTGGTTCAAAGCCGCATGTAGGTTTCTAAGGGCCTGGGATCATTGGCTCAGCTCCTTGAACCAATCCGGCCTTTCTGGAATAAACTTGTGTAATGGGGCCCGTGGACAAACCAGTGTAATATATGCAATAGTTTGGACCTTTACTCCAATCTATTCCACAGTTTACCATGTTCTCTCAGACAATGACCGACTGCAGCATCTCTAGTCCAGTAATGAAAGTGTCCCTCGGTATGTGGCCTGTGGGGTTGAGGACTTAGTTAGTACCTGAGCTTGACATAAGGAAAGTCCTGAGTTCAGATCTTTGCCTTGGTTCTTTTTGATTTGCATGTTCTCCTAGTTTTCTGTGACTTTCCTCTCACACGCCAAACATAAGTCCAGTTCATTGGAGATTCTGTTGTCTGTCTGATAAATTTTCTAAAGTGATGTCACTTGCGTCAGCGTCGGTTACAACATTGAAATCTCAATGAGCAGTGAGCTCCCCACACATCTGTAGCCCACTGCTCATGTCTGCTACTAGCATAGCACACCAGAATCCCTGTTGGCTGTCGAATTGCATCGTGGGTAATGCAGGCACCGGATTTCGCGACAACAATGTCTGGAATAAAAAAGACAATGTCTCCAGTTGTGCTGCATTGGTTTTGATACTTTTTTTAAACTGTACAGCACGAGTCCAATAATCGTCGTCTGCGTATTTATGTTAGTTGGACAGTTGTACAGAACAGGACCTACCCACATTTGGATCTAGCGCAAGAAAAGCAAGACAGCTGCACATGCAATACAAAGTATAAATGATATTCTGTCACATGTGGAGGTTGTCCAGATGTGCAGCCCAGTATCCACGGGGCTTATGTCCATGCTAGATGATTCAGTATGGCACAATTTACATCCAGTTTCAATGCAGTAAGTAGTGTGGCCTTTGTGTAGCAAGTTGGAAAGTAACGGTGTGGAGGCTGGATGATTAGTGCGTCGAACTTTCAGGCAGGAGACCAGAGATTGCATCTCATCACAGACCTGCAATTAAGGTTGGCCTAACCCTTTTTTGCCTAGCCCCAACCACACTGGAACCGTAGTTTATTTGCCATGACGACAATCTTTCCTTGACCCTAACCCTACTGCAACCCTACCCTACCTTTTTTTAACTGATTGGCATTGGATGTAAAACTATTGTCAGTTAACATCATCTAGGGTTTCACACAATCATCCAGTATCAACATTCTTGTCTGGCGATAGGTTTAACATATGATGCCCTTGAAATGCCAAGTGTAAATGGGTCCAGGGTTAAAAGTGTTAGCCCTGACAGAGAATGGCAACTTGGATGCTGTCCTTCCCTGTCATTCACCCAAAGCATGCTGGGATAGGCTCGAGCCCCCCGCCCCCGGACAGGACTAAGTGTAAGGAACAGGTAGTCAGATTTCATGACATGACTGAATATACACGTCATATGAACAGTATACAGGTTCAAACTTCACTTTTTTTATCATTTTCATTTGAAACACTACTGAGATAAACATCTCAAATGACGTGTGATGTTACCTAAATGGTGCTTTATTTGCGTACTAGCTACAGAAATGATCACAATGGGGTAATCCGGCACTACAGAAGCTTAATTCTTGCAGATGAAGGTATAGATATATGAAGATTAGGCAAAGCAAGAATGAATTTGATTCGAATCACTGTACGTTAGTGCTGCACTCATCCTTGGCAGTGGCGAGGCCTTATCCACTCATCTCTACAAGCATGAGGACAAGGCTGTGATTATGTTGCATCTTCTCTGTCTTTTTTTCTACAAACTTTTGTACTGTTATTTATACTGTATCATATTTCTAAGTAAAGGGGAGTCCTGAAGCTCCCCTCGAATGTTTTGTTAGTTTGCAGTTTTTTGATGTTGTCATAAGAAGCATCAGTCAAAGAGTTTGCCTTCACTTTTAGAGCCTTTGCGTTTTGTCTTTTCTATTATGTCTTCAGCTAGCTGGTCATCTGTCGCTCAGTGCAGAAAACATTTCTTTTTCCAATCAGCTCACAGAAACTTTCTTTTTTTGTTCACCACTTTCTTTGGGTCAGTTTCAGTATTGAGGTTCTGTCTATGTTTTCAGAAATGTATTCAATGTCACAGATGTCTCACTATTTCATACATTTCAAAGCTGCATGTATCCAGCAAGTAATCTGTGTTTTGGGCAGTTTAAGACAACAAATGACAAAGATAAAAATAAGAGATTTTTGTATGTAATTTGTTGACAGTGTACGGAAGTTTTGTTTTTATTGGGTTGATATGTTGAATTCATACATTGTAGATCTTGAACAGTGGAATTTATTCTGGAAAAAGAATGGTTAACAATGCTCCTATAACGTGGATATTGATCACAGCTATTATAGAAATATTTAAATAAGCTTTTGGAGAAGTAAGAATCATGAGATGTCTACCAAAAGATAAGGTGGTGGCAAACTGTAGCAGCTGTTTGGTATTTCTGTCTTTTCAACCTATTTATTTGTCTATTTATTTTCATTTTAAAAAGGGACTTTAACCAAGGGAACATGTGAATGAGTCGACAGGTGGGGGCAGCTTTGCTGGAGGGTGACACTGAAGCATGTGTATGTTTTTGTTTTGTTTCTAGTTGTGTGTCTGTGTGTATACACATGTAAATAATGTGGAAAGGTACAGTTCTGATTTGTCTGAGAACGGGTTCCTAAATACTCAGACTGTCCAATCACCCCACCACACAATACAACTGTTTATGACTCTCAATAAAAAGGTCACTTTGTTACTTCTCTGCCATTGTGTGGATATAATGTACAGACTGAAACTAAAGATGACGTGAAGATTAAAAAGCATGGGCACCACTGCAGCCCCGGTTTGGAATCCAACCCAGGGCCCTTTGCTGGATGCCATACCCCCTCTCTCTCTCTCTCTCTTTTCTCTCTCTCTCTCTCTGCAGCTGTCACTATCCAATAAAGGGAAAAATGCCCAAAAAAGAAAAGTTCAAAAATAAGAACATTAAAAAGTGACAATCAAATTTCAAGGTTCATTCTTGACCCTGGAAATATAAATTTAACAAACAAAATTATCTTCTCAAGGTAAATGAGCTATCCCACTCCACTCCTACTTTTGAGAAATAAAAACCTTTTGTCAAAAAAATCTTATCAACTAGCTTGGTTTCACTGTGGCTGTCAGCCACATTCTGTGGCCTTCATGAGCTGAAGGCGTTCGCTCAGTTGTCATTTGATCATTGATTTGTCATGTGTATTTTCAGATTTCAGCAATTACTTTGGTGAGTACAATTAATCTTAACTGACAGAATTGATGTCCAACATTGTGAAAATAATAATCAAGAATGAAGAAAGAAATATGATGTCCAGCAGTCTTAGACTTACTTGCATGTTTGACTTGACTGCATACAGGGCGGACTGGGAATTAAAATTGGGCCACTGAGACTCAGGTACACAGCTTCTCCACCTTCTCAGTCACTGTGACTTACATGACCCACATAATACACAATAGTGCAACATAATGGAGCAGAACAACAACACAGAGGAAGACCCATCCACTACAGTAACAATACTTACTGCAGTCTGTTATAAAATGTGGCAGCAAGTTCATTTACAATATTCAATCCAGCTCACTAACCGTTTTGTTATCATCTAAAACATTTAGCTGTGCTCACATGGCTGAGCTTCCAGTGAAAGACACAAATAATGTTGTTTACTGAAAAGCCGACAAGGGAGCTGACGCTGATGTATCACGTCGGCTAAATGCAGTGAGAATGGATTAGTTTAACCTGCAGCTGATAAAAATATTACTGTAACATTGCAGTGGGAGTTGACCTGAGTTTCCAGCATGTTGTGTGAAGCTGTCCCTCTTGTGTCTTACTCTCTTTTGGCTCTCTCATGAGTTCGAGCACTTGCATGAGCACACTCTTGGAAAGATAGTGGTTGCAATCTGAAACCTCACTGCTAGAGGCCACTGAAAACTACACATGGCCCCTTTAATCAGTTGTTACTCTTTAAGTGATACATTATACTAAGTAGTTGCTAAGTAGCCTAATCTCTCTTATCTCATGATTACCTGGTAATTTAGTTAACATTTTTGTGGGGCTCCCTCAAGTAAAGTAGCACATGTACCACTAGTGTAATTACAACCGCCCGCAGTATAATTAATTCACATCTACCAGTGGCAAACACCATAACCTTGATTCCTGATGCACAAGTATCGAACTTTACTTACAACAACAATCCCCACCAGATCCTGCCAAACTATAGGCTACTTACCTATCTTATATCTTCACTATCATGAAAATAAAACATTGTGAAAAAAGTGAGTAAAAGTCTCATTGTTGAAAATGGCAGTAGGAAATAAAAATGGACCTTTAAAAAAATACAAAAAAAACTGTATTTAACATAACGCTGTCATTATTAACGTAACTATTATAAAATAACATTTAATCATTATCACTTTTTTTTATTTCTTTTTACTATATCAATATCAGTTTTTTGTACTACTAATTGAGATCAGTTTGGGGATCGGATGCATGATCCGCTGTGCTCTTCTATGGCTCCATCCGATTGGCCAGCCCGCCTGTCAATCAGCAGCAGCTCCCGTGGTTACTGAGAGCAGCAGTCCGGTGTGTCAGTGAGGATCCAGCTGAAGACCGCACCGAGAGGACAAGTCCAGCCGGAGGAACTAGATCACCATGAGCCTGTCCGCTGTGTTCCCTGACAGAGTTGTGGACTCAGCTGGTGCTGTGAGCCCTCAGGCTGCCCTGCACTGATCTCTGTCTGTCGCCCGTGTTGTTTAATAGCAGTGTGCTGAATTACCTTTGTAAGTTTTAATCCAGACTTTTGTTAACCAACCGCTCCAATTAACCGACGCCATGATCCCCGAATGTCCGCGCGCCGGGGACACCAGAAGCCGGACCCGCATCCAGCTCAGCCCGGCTGCAGAACCGAGCCAGGACCGCAGCGCCAGCGGCTTGTTGTCCGAAATAAAAACCACCATCTGCAGCGAACCTTTCACCGAGCACTACGCCGTCATCCCCGGGAAGGAGCTCGGAAGGTGAGGCGACCTGCACAGTCCGGTATCAGACAGACTGCTGGTCCGGGGTGAAGTTACGCAATACTTGTGAAGTTGAATGGAAATATTATTTGTGGTTTTGAAGTGTTTCATCGAGAGAACATGCAACTCCTCTGTGCATGGCTGTTTGGAGTGTAGGTGCGTGTGTGTGTGTGTGTGTGCGTGTGTTGTTGTTGTTGTTTACTGGGCAGCTGTCACCCCTCCTGCACCCGGGGCTGGTTAATGTGACTGTAACAGCGATGTTTGGGACTTAGTTCTTCTGCATTTCTTTACTACAATTGTACAAAATCTCCCCTTCCATCTTAAAGTGAACAGGCGCGCTGGTCCACAGACGTACATTTGGATTCAAAAGCAATATCAGTATCAGTATGTTACTTTTACTGCTGATACAATATGATCTGATTATGGGATTGGCAAGTTTTGATTGATCTTTTTTCTAGTTGTGTCAGTTTAGAATGTGAATAAAAGCATTCATCAGATTAAAAAACATCTGCCCCAGTATTTGATAGCAGTCTGGCAGCTGTGTCCGAGTTTGAACATGTTTCACACAGGGTTTCTGAAAGTTGATGATTAGAGGAAATGCCCTAGGTGCTGGAGTCTAAACTGAGCTGGGATATAGCCCCCTAACAAAGTCACAAGACCAATCCCCTTCTGATTAGAATATGCTTTACTATGATGAATCACACACAGACTGTCAGTGTGACATGGTTCTCTGTTAGCTTAGCATTGTGGCTGTGTGTGGTGACCAGGGGACAGCCTCAGAGATAAGAGCTCACTGTAGACTTGGCTGAATCAAAGTTACTTCATCCAACAATCTCCTGATAGACTGAAGCAAGGTCTGTTTGAGTCTCAGAGGGCCACAACAAAGCCTGTGTGTGTGTATGTGTGTGTGTGGTTTTGCATCGCATGACCTGACATTGTGACAGAGATTAGCTGCAATGGAACAACATGAAAGGTTGTAATCTACCACTGTGACCTACAGCACTGTAGAAAGGGCAGATTGTTGGTAGATAAGCTGATACAGCGAGGCGTTACGCTGGATCAAGATGTTGTCTTGTATTGTCTGATGTAACCACGCTCAGAGTGGAGCTGAGGTTCTCTCACACACTCTTACATATATTTATATTTAAATCACGTTTTTTTAATCACATTTTATTTATTTAGCGGGTCATAAGGGGCCAGGGCTGAACAATACTGCCACTTTTTGTTACTTTTACAAATTATACTACAGAACTTATTCAGTAATGGTCAGATATAACCAAGCCATTCAAAGGATGTGCTATCTTTACTGGGAGGTGGAGAGAATTGCACAGTTGGCCAATTAGCTTGAAATTCTCCTGGGCCTGGTTTAACAAATCCAAGAGCTTACACCGTCTTATCTAAAATCATCATCGCTCTGAGAATCATTTGCATCCTAAAATAAATATAAAAAACTTCTCAACCTCAATAATTCAGCATTATTCAATCATACTGGCAAAGCACATTCAAATAATGATGACAGTGGCATATCTTAATAAGAGTCCACGTCACTGCTGTGTTATGATAAAAATTATAACAGACCCTATTTGTCAGATGCCTTATCAGAATTATACTGGACCTCAAATTCAGAATGATTGCTGTGAGACAGATTCATTCAAACTCTGTCAGTCCTTTCCTGAACTGAACAATCAGTAGTTTTACTGAAGTCCTTGACTTAAAACGTAAAATTGATTTATTTTACCACTGAGTAACATGCAGTAAGATAATCACCTACAATGTATTTTTGCATCTGTGTGGGACAAAGAAAATAACCGAAACCATTTACTGACTGTAACAGCAGCCTGTAACGTTCCTTTAAGGCGTTGTTTTAGTTGACACATGTTGTATCATTACATTATTATTATAGCAGTGGTGCAGAAATTACTTATAACCTATAAACATTTAGAAAATCAATTTTATGTGACTACTAACAGAAACACGCTCCTCGTGTTGCTCATCCTGATATACTGTATCAGGCTTGTGTGGGGACAAAAAGTAAACAGGATTTTTGGTGCTGTCTTGACAAAGCACAATGGGATGGTTTTGCTTCAATTCACAGAGTGTAGGCCTGAAGAGCACCACATTGTTGGGTCTCTGTCTAAAATACTGGTTGCAGCGACGCACTGACACAAGTTCTGCAAAGCGACATATTTTTTATGATGTCGATGAATCACCTCAGCCCCAGTCATGATCCAGCTGACTGTTAATTAGCTGCACATTTGCAGGATTAAGTTTAAGGGCTTGTTGCTCTGACAAACGCTGTAGATATACATTTTAAATGTAGCTTGGAATAACTGAAAAATTCATACACGAATTAACGGTTCAGTGTGTAAGTTTTAGTGGCATCTAGTGGTGAGGATCGTGAATTGCAACCAGCAACTCACGGTGCATTCACGGGCTCCTCTGATGGTCCCATTTCCCAAGTTGTGAAGTCGTTCTTCCGACTTCAGTGTGAGCTCATGTGCTCTTAAGTCAGAATGTGGAATCAACATGGACGCCACTACAAGTTGTGTTAACATTATCAGAGCATATAAACAACACATAGACATCTAGTTCACTCTACATGGAAAACTAACCGTTATAACAATATTACAAAGTATATGTTTGCAAAATATGTATATGCAATATGTGATTTTGCATGAATCAAAGTTCTGTATACTTCGTGATGTCCTGTGTGCA